ACTTGTTATGCATCAGAGAGTTGGACAATGACTAGGGAGGATAGAAGGAGAATTGACGTCTTTGAGCTGTGGTGCTGGAGAAGAGTATTGAATGTTCCATGGACTGCCAAGAAAACAAACAGATTCATCCTAGAGAGGGTTAAACCAGGCTACTTCTTGGAGGCAAGGATTCTGGGGCTTTGTCTGATATACTTTGGACATGTTACAAGGAGAGACAGGTCCTTGGAGAGGGACATCATGCTTGGTAGGGTAGAGGGACAGCGCAGGAGGGAAGACCCTCTATGAGGTGGATTGATTCAGTGACTGGGATAATTGGGATGGGTGTGTCAGAGGCAATGCGGTTGGCACAGAATAGAGCAGGGTTTAGGGCTGTTGTACATAGGGTCGCTATGAGTCACAAATGACTCGACCGCACATAACAACAACAACAACAACAACAACAACAACTGTCAAATTATCTTTGACTGGTACAGGAGGAGATTGTACCTCCTTCTCCAGCAGAGTATCTGGTAGATTTGAACTGCTCACCTCTGTGATTGCAGAGGCTGTAAATCTTTACTGTAGAGATTGCTCATCTTTTTTCTTCTGAGCAGCGATGGATTCAAACTAATGACTCCTACCAAGTGCAATACATGACGTACTAAGACGCAGAAGCTTCCATCCTAAACAGTGGCTTTCACTGACTACAGCCTACATTATGAAAACACTTTACATTTCACTCTTATCAGGAAACACAATTCACATTTACAATATGCAATACATATGGAATTTTTAGTTTTTTCTTAAAATGACAGAAATAATTCTCTCAATAGATGCCCCTTTTTCTAGCACTGCTGCTGCCTCCTCTCTCAATAGATCTTTAAACCTATTCATGTATCACAAGAAGTCATCTGAAAAAACTGCTCTGAACCATTCCACAGTACATTTTCACTCTACTGGCCTGGAGAGGAAAATGTAAAGTTAAGTCACTTGCTCAAATTTGAGTGCAACTCATTAAAAAAAAATTACTACCCAGGCAGTTCCAACTCTTGGCTGACTCTCCATCGGGTTTCAAGCTGTAAATCATAAAGTTTCTCCTTGGAGGCTAGGATTTTAAAGCTTCATCTTACATACTTTGGGTACGAGGCCAGGAGGGTCTGGTCCTTGGAGAAAGCCATCATGCTCAGAAGGGTGGAGGGACAGCACAGAAGAGGAAGACTGGATGAGATGGATTGATACAGTGACTGGGGCAATGGGGGGTAGACGGGTAGGAGTCAGTGAGACTGGCTCTGGACATGACAGGCTTCAGAGCTGTTGTACACAGGGTCGCTATGGGTTGCAGGCTACTCGATGGCCCATAACAACAACAACAACAACAATAAAAAATAGAAAAGGGAAGAGAATGACCATCTTCTTCCAAAGCCGCCGGTGGATTGCAAGGATTCAAACCACCAAAGTTGCACAGCCTTCGAGTTAGCAGTGTAACTGGCTAAACAAAGCTTCACTCCCCTCCAGCAGGTTTTCAGAGGCTATAAATGCCATAAGATGAGACTGTCCATCATCATCATCCCATAGAGCAGCTGGTGGATTAGAACTGCAAGTCTTTGTATTGGCAGCACAGCTTCTCACCCACCAGGCCACGAGAGCTCCTTTGCTATTAACAGGCAAAGCTTGTATTTTAATCAAGTTCTAAAACTCTCCCTAACTCATTTTTGAGTCACAACCAACTCTGCTGACTCTCTGTTGGATTTCTGAGGTTGTAAATAGAAACAGAGAAGATTGCTTTTCACCTGTGGAGCTGCTGGTGGATTAGAACTGACAAACACGCTGCTGCCTTTAGTTAGCTGTACAACACATACAACCAATAAGCAAGGGAGCGAAGCTTCTTCAGCGAATTGCGCCGTGAACTCAAAAGCTGTGCAACTCTGCGGGTCTGAATCCTTAGAATCCACCGGCGGTGTCTATGTCACCGGAGTTAAAATGAAAAATTATTGCAAGCACCAAAATCTATTGAATTCTTAAGACCTGTCAGGTACTCTGCTGAACTCTTGTGCATTATTTAATATTCATTACGGTTAAATGAAACAGAACTGCTTACTATTCCCCCTTTCCAGATGAGGAAGCAGTGTTTTAAGAATTGGGAAATTAGTCTCACTTTCAGTAGCAAGCCTAGACTTGTCTTCAGATCCAACCGTTCTGAAAGCCACTCTCAAAACTCCCATCAGGATAGCTCACGAAAGAGAGTCTGCACAAGTGAAACCCTGATAATGATCTGTTCCCTACCCTTCAGGGCCTGTATCATTCCACATCCTTTCCTGCACCGATTGCCATGAAACCTGGTGGTAAAAGAAAAACAGCATGCACTTTGGCCGAGGAGGAGTAGGTATCAAATTCCAGGCCCATGACTTACTCAGAACACGGTCTTAATATTTCTGTCCTTCAATTTCTCCAGGATTAGAGACTTTAACCTGAAGCACCTGCAAAGCGTCCGTCAAACAGCTATCCTCTCCGGGCCCCGCCTCCTTCACTAGGCGCGCATGCGCCGTTGCTGGGGCGCCGTTTACGACGCAGCGAACGCGGTGCGCTTGGTGGCTGGAGTGGAGTGGTCACGGCGCTGGCGGCAGCACCGCGGAGGCTGCCCACCGCCGGCTGTGTCGCCATGTCGCACGGCCATAGCCATGGCGGGGGCGGCTGTCGCTGCGCTGCGGAACGGGAGGAGCCGCCTGAGCAGCGCGGCCTGGCCTATGGCCTGTACCTGCGCATCGACCTGGAGCGGCTGCAGTGCCTCAACGAGAGCCGCGAGGGAAGCGGCCGCGGCGTCTTCAAGCCGTGGGAGGAGCGGACCGACCGCTCCAAGGTGGGCCTGAGGGGCCCGGGGCTGGCGGGCGAGGCGGGGACCAGCGCAGAGCCTCGGGCTGCCAGTCTTCTCAGCCTCATTTCTCTTGTTAAAAGTTAAGACAGCCTGGTTTCCAAGCGCTTCTTCATGTCTGTATCTCCTGCCAGCCCTTTGGGAGGCTAACAGGGTAGAGTCTCCCCATTTTGCAGATGGGAAAGTTGAGGCCTTGAGAGGGAAGGGGTGTCGGCTTTACACAGCTCAACTCTGGGAGATTGTGAGGAAGGATCGCCCAGGACGTTTTCCCACCCATTGATCCCCAGTGAGTGGCTGCCTGATCAGATCACCTATTAAAGACCAGACCGCGAAGACGAAGGGTATTTAGAGCATAGATTCTTAGCCATTTTGGAACTACAGATCCTTTGTAGAGTCATTTGAAAGCTGTAGAATCTTACCCTCAGAAAAACTCAAATAGGTATAGACTGGGATCCCCGCCCCCCAGAAAAACTGCAATAGGCACAGATACATGCACACCATTTCAGGAACTACTTGTTAGGTGCCATTGGACCCTGAAAGTTCATTTATGGATTTTCCATGATAATTATGTCCTACATAACTGAGGGAGCTTGACGATTTGAATCGCACCTCAGAAATAGAACAGGGTGAAGGTTGCCTGAAATTGTAGGCTCTCAGCAATTATTTGTTGCTTTCTCCTCCCCACTTCCCATCCCCTCCAGTTTGTTGAAAGTGATGCAGATGAAGAACTTCTGTTTAATATTCCGTAAGTATCTCCCTGGTGCCTGCCTCAAGCTAAATTTCCTTGCCTGCACACGTGGACTATCAGGAGAACGAACACACAACTGTTTCTTAAAATGGGGTTTGGTGGGCTTGAGGAGGTCAGCTTTATGGCTTTCTTGGTGCAGAGTGAAAACAGGTATATTTGTTGAAAGATAACCTAGACATAATTTTTTTTAGAATTGTGGCATTCCAGAGGATGACAGAATCTTCAAAATTTTCTAGTACAAACTTGACCATTGAGTAAACCAAAAGAGCAGAGAGGTGGGGTAAAATCCTTAGAAGAGCCATACAGCTAAACAGGAATTCAAGTCTGCTTTGACACTGGTCTTTTTTGTATTTTTGGCAGATTTACAGGCAATGTCAAGCTCAAAGGCATCATTATAATGGGAGAGGATGGTGAATCACATCCCTCTGAGATGAGACTGTAAGTGGCAAAGCTCCTCATTTTTTTTTTCCCCTGGTAGCACACTGTTCCTATAATAATTTTCATTTTCACTAAGCACTGTATTCTCCCATCCTTGGTTTATTTTATTTTTTCCTCTGGTAGTACACTGTTCCTATAATAATTTTCATTTTCACTAAGCACTGTATTCTCCCATCCTTGGTTTATTTTATTTTATTTTGTTTGTTTGTTTATTTTTAAAATGTTGTGGTTTGTCCGTTTACATGTTGGGTTTTGGTTTTATTTTTATTTTTTATTTTTTTTTTTTAATTCCTGGTCTTTTCTTGTCCTGTATACACTTATCTCTTCCAGAAGTCATGGCTTCTTTAGATTACATATATTTAGGGCCAACCATTTATCTCTTTTTTTTCTCCCCCAGATGCTTACTCTGGTACCATTCATTCAGGGTATCTTATAAATGCCAACTGTTGATGACGTTGCAGTTTTAAAAAATAACTCCAATTCTCTAATGTTGATTATATTCTTATTATTTTAAGATATTAAAAATTTTTTATTGAGGACAAGAGGATGCAAACAGTATAAAAATAAAAAAATTATGTGGCATTAAATAGACTTTTCTTTCTGTGCTTGTCAAATAGAAGTTGTATTTTGCTTGTGTATATTCTAAATTACTCCAGTCTGCTCATGAAATCCTCATGTAGAGCAAGATGTGTTACAACTTGAGACTTGAATTTTTTTTTAAATATTTTTTTATTTGTTTGTTTACATAGTTCGAACACATTGTTTTTCACACTGGATCTTTACCATTTCCTTCACACACAACCCCTCCACCCATCAAATTGTGCAATCCCTTTGCTGTCCCCTCTTGAGACTTGAATTTGTTCTTCAGTTCCTTCAACTTAAGAAATGTTGAACAAGTTTGGCTCTTTTTAATTTTCTGACTCTGGCTTTTTGCATATTTCATTATAATAGTTTGCTATGACTTCTAGCGCTGCCTTTTGAAATCTTCTGGTCAACTCCATAGCTTCTTGATTTTCTTCCTTTTGCTTTGGCTTCTCGATGCTCTAATGCAATATTCAGAGTCTCTTACATTCATTTGGGTCTTCTTCCTCCTTTACTCTTGATAGCCTTCCACAACTCATCTGGTCTTTATTCATTATTGTTCAAGGCCTCAAAACTGTTCTGAGATGGTTTTGAAATTCAGGTGGGAGAGATCTCAAGGTCAAATTTTGGTTCCTATGGATTTTATTTAACCTTCTTTAGCTTTAGTTTGAACTTGAATATGAGTAGTTGATCGTCTATTCCACAGTCACCACCTGGCCTAACTGTCACAACTGATACTGAGCTTCTCCAACGATTCTTTCAGATGTAATTGATCTGGTGCCTGTGTATATCATCCGGTGAAATCCATGTATATAGTCTGCATCTAGGTTTCTTATAAAAAGTATTTGCAATGAGTAAATTATTGGCTATACAGAATTCTGTCATTCTATCTCTAGTCTCATTTCTGTCACCAAGTCTATGTTTTCCAACTACTGATACTTCTTCCCCGTTCCCAACTTTTGCATTCCAATCACTCATTATTATTAATGCATCTTGATTGCATATTTGATTGATTTCTGACTGCAAAAGTTGGTAGAAATCATCTATTTCCTCCTCTTTGGCTCTGGTTGTTGGTACATATATTTGAATGATAGTGATATTCACTGGATTTCTTCTGTGCATATGGAGATTATCCTGTCACTCACAACATTGTGTTTCAAGGTGGATCTAGAAAGGACTTTTTTAACTATGAAAGCGGACCCAGTTTCCTCACCATTAGACCATATAATTGTCTGATTCAAAATGTCTTGTGCTAGTCCATTTCATTTCACCCATACCTAGTATGTCACTATTTATGTGTTCCATTTCTTTTTTAATGATGTCCAGTTTTCCTACATTCATGCTTCTCACTAGTGTCCAGTCACTAGTGTCTGCTTAACAACTTTTCCTCATCCTTTGTGTTTCCATATATGGGGGCTTAGTCTCAGTTGCTATATATACTAGTCTACTGTAAGTGAAGTCTATAGTACTTAAGGTTTTTGAAAGCTTAATATTTCAGAAGTGGATGGCCAATCCTTCTTCCTAATCTATCTTAATTTGAATGTCCAGCTATAGAACAGTATCTGAAAGACAAGCATTTTACAGAAAGAAGCAGATGAAAGATATTTCTCCACTATAGCAGTAACCAATATTCTCACCATTGAGCCAGTTGGCAACACCATGATAGCTGGAGAAGAGATTGAGGTTGTTAACAGTTTCAGCTTGCCCAGATTCAGACTATCAACACTCCTGGCAGGAAAGCAAAAGACAAATTGTGTTGGGGAGGTGTGCTGTCAGGAACCTCTTTAGAATGCTAAAGAGCAACAATGTCAGTCTAGAGACTAAAATGTGCGTGATCCAGGCCATAGTCTTCACACTTACATGCTGTGCATCAGAGAGCTGAACAATGACTAAGGTTGAGAGAAGAAGAATTGATGTCTTTGAGTTGTGCTGGAGAAGAGTATTGAATATACCATGGACCCCCAAGAGAACAAATAGTTTTTTCTTGGAGACAGTGAAACCAAGTCTCCTTGGAGGAGGGCATCATGCTCAGAAGGGTGGATGGATAGCGCAGGAGAGGAAGACCCCAGATGAGATGAATTGACACAATACTTAAGAGTAATAAGGGTAGAAGTGTCTGAGTCAGTGAGACTGGCTAAGGATAAGGGCGGGCTTCAGAGCTGTTGTACATAGATAGTATCTATTAGTTGCAGGCGACTTGGTGGTACATAACACCACCACGAGAGGAAGATGTGGTGAAGATTCTTTAAGCAGCCTTTTGAGATCATGCTTGTGAAAGTGATCACACTTGTTAGAGTGGGACTGATTGCTTAATTCTTCTGCTTCGTGTTTACTTCACATTAGTCGTTGCAGGCAATGGTGAGCCCAGGAGTCAGTGCGAAGAAGTTCTTGACCTTCTTGGCATTGGTCCAGAATCAGTCCAGAAATCTAAAGAACTCCTTTTCTACCAGCACTTTCAGGTGCTTCTTTATTGAATAGCATTTATTTCCCTCTTCATGGCATGTTCTATTTGAGGTGGCCTGTTAAGTGAGGTCTGTTTGAGCCCTACTCTTGTTTTGAAGAGTTTTATTGCTGAACTTCTTCCATCTCATGTGAGAGTTGATTTTAGTCTTGAGATTAGCAAAACGGAAAGATAGCTTTTTGAATGTTAGAGAAATTGATGTCGGGTGATGAGAATAAAATGAAGTGGTATCTTTTGGTTAGCTATGCTGTTTGCAGTAATTTGTTTTCAAGAGTTCTTATTTAAAGAACTGTATATGAAAGAATTTAATCTGGGGAAAAACCTCAATCAAGTAGATTAAATGAGTTTTAGGGGGATTTAAGAAAGGAACGTATCACTCAGCTGATAGGAATATGAATTTGAAAGCTGATCATCAAATACTAAATTATTTTAAGTAAAAGTGATTCATAGATGTTTTTGGAGATTTACTTTTAGAATGAGTTGGTTTTAGGGCAATCTATGTTGTATTGTGGCTAAAAGTATTGTTGTTGTTAGATGCCATCCAGTACGACTCAGTGACCCTGTGAACAGCTGACTTGAACCCTGCTCTATTCTCTACCATCCTCATAATTTTTTACACACTAGAGCCCATTGCTGAAGTCATCATGTCAGTCCATCTCGTTGGGGATCTTCCTCTTCTTTGCTGACCCTCTTTGTTTCCAAGCATGATGTCCCTCTCAAAGGAGTAGTCTTGCCTAGCTACATGTCCAAAGTATGAAAAACAAAGCCTTGCCATCTTTGCCTTTGAGGAGCACTCTGGCTGCACTTTTTCCGAGACATACCTATTTGATTTTTTTGGCAATTCATGGGATATTTAGGGAACTCTGGTGACTTAAGGATAAGGAATTGCGCTGCCAGTGCAAGGTACGCAGTTCCAGTTCACAAGGTGCTCTGCAGGAGAAAGGTGGTCGGTCACCTCCCGTGTGAATTGCTGCTTCTGAAAACCTGCTGGAGGATCTACTTAATGGGTCAGTTCTGACTCTCGCACACAACAACAGACATCCATGATGTATTGTTAAAAATAGAGGCTTCGTGATTTTTTATTTTTTTTTTAATGTGTATGTTAACTGCTTGGGCTCAGATTCTGACTGGACCACTTACTCTCTTCATGACTTAAAGGAGTTATCTTCTTGATGCATGGTTCAGAATTGGGAGGGGTATAGGCCATTGAGTTGTCCTATCTCCATACCTTTTCAGTCTGTATACAGAACAGATCATCCAGGAAGCTGGGCTCTATGAGGAGGAGTGTGGCATCAGGATTGGAGGAAGACTCATCAACAGCCTACCTTATGCAGATGGCATAGCTCTGTTTGCTGAAACTGAGGAGGACCTGAAGCACTTGCTACAGAAGGTTAAGAACTGCAGCCTTAAATATGGAGTGAAGTTCAACATCAAGAAAATAAAGATTCTCACCGCTGTGCCAAGTGGTATCATCATGATAGATGAAGAAATTGAGATTGCTAATTGCTTCAGTTTACTTGGCTCCACAGTCAACACTCTTGGTACCAGCAGCCAGGAAGTCAGAATATGAATTTCGTTGGAAAGGTCTGCTGTCAGGCACCTCCCCAGAGTACTGAAGAGCAATATCAGTCTGGAGACTAAGGTGCACCTGATCCAGGGGTCTTTGCAATCACTGGCTATGCGTCAGAAAGCTGGACAGTGACTGGGGCCGATAGAGTATTGATGCCTTTGAGCTGTGGTGCTGGGGAAGAGTATCGAATATACCATGGACTGCCAGGAGAAAAAAACACGTTTGTTCTAGAGAGGGTGAAACCAGGTTGTTCCTTGGGGACAAGGATCCTGAGGCTTCATATGTTATACTTTGGGCATGTTGGAAGGAGTGACCAGTCCTTGGAGAGGGACATCATGCTTGAGATGATGGAGGGATAGCACAAGAGAGGAAGACCCTGGAAAAGACAGATTGACTCAGTGACTGGGGTATTGAGTGTAGATGTGTCAGAGACAATAAGGTTGGCACAGGATTGAGCAGAGTTCAGGGCTGTTGTGCGTAGGGTCGCTGTGAGCCACAAGCAGCTCAACAGCATATAACAAAATAGGAGTAGTTATATTTAAGACGATTGAGGAGAAAATGAGATGAGCTATACTATAGAAGTTAAATGAGTTAACACATTTAAGTAATAGATCTGGAACATAGTAAATACCCAATTTGGGGTTTGTTGTTACATGTCATTGAGTCACTTGCGATGCATAGCAACCTTATATACAAGAGCTCTGAGCCCTGCTGTAAGCCAGTTGTCTCTGACACACCTTCCCCCCCTCACCCCAGTCAAGTCTATCCATCTCATCTAGGGTCTTTTTCTTGTGCTGTCCTTCCACCCTTCCAAGCATGATGTCCTTCTCCAAGGACTGGTAGGCAAGTATAAACAATTATGTAGCTTTAGTTTTAAGCATTTTACATATATTAGACTTGATTGTATAAGATGGCCTTGATTGTAAAGTGCACCATTATTTTATGTACCATTCATAAAGGAAAAAAGCTTGCTGCCACTTCAACGATGACACAGCAAAAGAATTAAATTGAGTCTTTAAGTCTTAAAAGAGAGAAATTTGAACACAGGTGTTAAATTATATTAAGGAATTTTTAATTAATGTAAGCTAGTATTATACATTATCGTAGGTTTTTGTTGTTGACAAATCCTTAACTGCTTTAGGGATACTAAATAAAACAGTGGTGGATGACATGATAACAGCTATCTGAGATTTATTTTAATATTAAGCAAAACCAGAGTAAGAATATGTTAGGCAAAGTTAACAGTGTTGACTTAATAGCATATGGAGGTTGTGATACTATCTTTCTTCTATGTTTGAAAGTTCCCTTAGTAAAAATTTAAAAAGAAAAAATCTTGGAATTGATTTTCATTTACACATCAACTGGAGGTCGTAATTGCAATCACTATTCCCATTTGCAGATGTAGAAACTGAGACAGGTTAAATCATTTGCCAAGGTCACACACCATTGGTATGTGCTAGAACCAGAGTTTAGATTCAGGAAGTCTGGCTCCAAGGACGCTGTTGTTAACTACAGTGTTACCTTGCCTCTCATAATGCTGCTCATAAAAGTTCACCGTGGTTATTACTCTTTTGCTTTGCATCAGTCTTTGATACACTTTGAAGCAAATACCTGCTTTTTAAATTACATATATTTTGCTCTTCCCGTGGGTGTGTTAATAAAACACCCTAGAGATAGGTGGTGGGGATGTATCCTTCAGAATTTGTAGGTTACAGGAAGACAGCTGTTTGCTTTTATTTTCCCCCCTTTGAAAAAGTTTCCTCACTAGCAGTTTTACCTTGACCTTCTAAAGGTTGTTGTGAGTTTGCAAGTCTGCAGCCTTTTGTGTTCTTTTCAAAATGTAAGCCCTTGTTTTTAAGAGACTCAATAATTTGAGTCTCTCAGGTAATTTTTGGACATAACTGCTTGAGTGTTGAGTTACCTGATCTTACCTCAACAGTGTTTAATATGTTTCTGCCAAAGTCCTTGTTTCCCCCTTGAGTAAAATATTTTATTTCGCATCTCTAGCTTCCAGTGAATGTGCTGAGTTGCATATTTTTCTCCATGCATTAGCTGCATGTGATCAGATTTGAGCTATCTCTTTGTTGCTTTTCATGTGATCGTAACACACTCAGAGATGCCACTGTCTTATGTTGCTGTTCTCAGCACTTTGTTATTGGATTAAAGACATTTGTATGTGGATGTCAATAAAATACCAGTTCTAAAATTTGTTCCCAAAATTTTATCTCCTTTTGATCAAACCAGAGGCAGTTGAAAAGTCAGGAGAAAACTCTTAAAAACAGAAATGTAATAATGCACACTTGTTGAATTGTGCCTCCTTTTCCTTTTTCAGGTATAAGAACATTCCACAGATGTCCTTTGATGATACAGACAGGGAACCAGACCAGACCTTTAGTCTGAACCGGGATCTTACAGGAGAATTAGAGTATGCCACAAAGTAAGCACTGGGCCTGGCTTCCGCTCCTGGCTTCTGCTGGGGAACAGCAGGTGCTCCCTCGTTTGCAACCAGCACAAACACATCAGGAGACTCCATTTATTTTTGGCTGGTTTCCTGCTATTATTTATCAAGAATGAGTTGAAACAGTGGAGAAGGCTTGATCCTTGGCTTGGTTGATTTTGGCAGCAATTCAGTGCGAGCTCTACAGACTTGTTAACTTGCAAACAGTTGGCAGGCATTCTAAATGAGCTCCTAGAGTAGTCTTCAGGAAGAAGTTTTCATAGTTCTTGAGAATGGCTTCCAAACCGAAAAAGTGTTACTGGTGTGTAATTTCCAGCTCATAGTACTCCTGCAGAATTGAGTAAAATTGCCTCCTCAGGTTTCCAGAGCCATCACTTTACAGAAGCAGGCTGTCACATCTGTCTCCCACAAAGCAGCTGGTGTATTCAAACCCCTAGTGTAAGGCTATGTTTTATGTGCCCATCTTTCTTAGTGCTTTATAAGATCTTTTTTGTAAACTAAGGGTGAGGTCCAAACTAAATTTATTACTGAATAGTGTTTCTCCGCATTGCCATGGGAAAGTCTGCTGTTAGGGACCTCTCCAAAGTACTGAAGAGCAATGGTGTCTCTCTGGAGACTAAGGTGTGTCTGATACAGGCCGTGGTCTTCGCAGTCACTTGTTATGCATCAGAGAGTTGGACAATGACCAAGGAGGATAGAAGGAGAATTGATGCCTTTGAGCTGTGGTGCTGGAGAAGAGTATTGAGAATACCATGGACTGTTAGGAAAACAAACAGATTTGTCCTGGAAAGGGTTAAACCAGGTGGCTCCTTGGAGGCAAGGATTCTGAGGCTCCGTCTAACATACTTTGGACATGTTGTGAGGAGAGACCGGTCTTTGGAGAGGGACATCATGCTTGGGAGGGTGGAGGGACAGCGCAGGAGAGGAAGGCCCTCTATGAGGTGGATTGATTCGGTGACTGGGATAATTGGGATGGGAGTGTCAAAGACAGTGCGATTGGCACAGGACAGAGTGGAGTTTAGGGCTGTTGTACATCGGGTCGCTATGAGTCGCGACTCGACGGCACATAACAACAACAACAACAGTGTTTCTCCTTGTTGCTGCCTGAGGACGGGAATAGTATTAATTTATCCTTCTGTCCCTTCTGCCAGAGTAGATGTTTAATAAGTGCATGGAATTATTTGTCTGAAGGAGAAGGATGGATGGATGGATGGATGGATGGATGGATGGATGAGATACAAGAACCCAAGCATGGACACTGACACCGAAAGTTTTACTACAAGACAGATGTGGAGTATTTTTTTACATATTGGTGAGATACTATAAGAAAAATAACATGTTTTCTTTCTTTCCTTCGCTTTAGAATTTCTCGTTTTTCAAATGTCTATCATCTCTCTATTCATATTTCAAAAAACTTTGGAGCAGACACCACAAAGATCTTTTATATTGGCCTCAGAGGAGAATGGACTGAGGTAAGTTGAGGTTGTGTGCATATTTACTGTTTACCTGAATGTATCCTCTTGTAGTGGGTGAGAGCTTTATGAAAAGGGAAATAAGCAAAAGATGTCACTCCCAGTCAGTTTATAATTTTTTTTTAATCACTGTAAATTGTCCGTCTCATTTCATAGTCTTCAAGTATTTTTTTTAAATCAGTCATGCATTTTATTTACTGATCCAAGAGACCTCTCCAAGACTGCCTTACCTTTTTTCTGTGTGGTCAGAGGTTTTAAACCTTTCTGTTGTTGTCAAGCAGCAATTCAAAGCAGCCTGGTGAACAACAGATCTGACACACTAGAGCCCATTATTGCAGTCACTGTCTCAATCCACCTGGCTTGAGGTGTCTTCAAATCTTTTTAAGGTGATTGAAATTATGTCACTGATGTTAATTCACATTTTCATGTTAAGATTTATTTCATTCAGCAGATGGTTTTTGATAAACTTTCTTGTACATAAGAGGTAAAGTCGTAGAGATAGACAAGGTCTTCTTTTCTTGGTGTGCCATTATAGTTGTTATGTGCTGTTGAATCACCTGTGACCCTATGCAGATAGCATGCAGATAGCTCTGAACTCCTACTTATCCTGAGCCACTGTGTCTGACACACCTACCCCCATAGCCCCAGTTACTGTACTGATCTCTCTCTAGTGTCTTCCTCTCTTGAGCTGTTCCTCCATCCAAGCATGACATCTTTCTCTAAGTACTGGTCCCTCCTGGCATCATGTCCAAAATGTGTCAGCTAGAGCTTCATAGTCTTTGCCTCCATGGAGCAACTTGGTTTCACCGTCTCCAGGACAAACTTGTTTATTCTCTTGATAGTCTGGTATGTTCAGAGCTCCTTCAGCACCACAACTCAAAGGCATCAATTCTTCTGTTATCCTTAGTCATGATCTAGCCCTCCCTGAAGTAGGCACACCTTAGTCTCTAGACTGACATCATTGCTCTTTAGCACTCTGGAGAGAGGTTTCTGACAGCAGACTTTTCTAATGCAATTTGTCTTTTGATTTCTTGACTTTTGGTGCCAAATGTATTGATTGTGGAACCAAGCAAGCTGAAATTAACGATCTTAGTCTTCTCCATCGATCATGTTGCTTCCTGTTGGTAAGAATCTTTGTCTTCTTGATGTTAAACTTTAGTCATATTGAAGATGATAATCCTTGACCTTTTACAGCAGATGCTTCAGGTCCTCCTCTGTTTTGGCAAGCAAGATTGTGTAATCTGAGTAACTTAGATTGTTGATTAGTCTTCCTTCACTCCTGACACCACATTTCTTCTTCATAAAGTCCAGCCTCCCTCATGTTCTGTTCTGCATATAGCTTGAAAACGTGCATCTCTGATACACTCCTTTCCTGATTTTGAACCCATGCAGTGTTTCTTTGTTCTGACAATTTCCTGGTCCCAAGTATAGATTTCACATGAACACAATCAGATGTTCTTGGATCCCCATTTTTCTCAGTGTTAGCCACAATATTTTATGATACAGTCAATGAGACAGATTCCTTGGGTACTTTCTGCTTTCATCTAAGATCTGTCTGACATTGGCTGTTGTATTCCTAGTGCCATGGCCTCTTCTATTTGTATTTCAGGTCGTTCTCTGTTGATGTACTGTTCCAGTTGTTTTTTAGTAACCTTCAGCAGGATTTTGCTTGTGTGTGATATTAGTGATTTTGTTCTATAATTTCCACACTGTGTTGGAATTCCTTTTTTTGGAATGGAATAAATGGATCTATTAATTCAGTTGGCCAGGTGGTTATCCTCCAAATTTCTTGGCACAATCTGGTGAGCATGTCTAGGACAGCATCTGTTTGTTGAAATATGTAAATTTTGGTATTCTGTCAAGTCCTGCCATCATAGTAGGAAGAGACATATGGATCTTCTATGTTAAAAGGTCAGACTTTAAAAAAAAAAAAAAAAAAAGGTCAGACTTTTGTTCTTGTGGATTTGATTTTATTTTCTTTAGCTTCAATTTGAATTTGCATACAAGTAGTTGATGATCTGATTTCCAATCAGCACCTGGCCTAGCTTTCACAGCTCTTCCAATTTTCCCCACATATGTAATCAGTCTGATGTCTCTGTAGGCTGTTAGGGGAGGTGTATGTGTATATGCCCCATTTGTGTTTCTTATAAAAGGTATTTGCAATGAATAAATCATTGATTGTACAGAATTCTGTCATTCCGTTTCCAGCCTCATTTTGTCACCAAGTTTATGTTTCCCAACTACCAATCCTTTTTCCTTGTTCCCAACTTTTGCATTCCAGTCACCCATTATTACTAATGTATCTTGGTTGCATGTTTGATCGATTTCTGATCACAACAGTTGGTAGAAGTCACCTATATCCTACTCTTTGACGCTGGTTGTTGTTGGTGCATAAATTTGAAAGATAGTGGTATAAATAGGTCTTCCTTGTATGCATATGGATATTCTTTCAAGATGGATCTAGAAATGATCTTTTTAACTGCAAATGTGACTCTGTTTTTTCTTACCTTTTCATTTCCAGCATAGTAGATCATATTATCTAATTCAGAATGTCCCATGCCAATCCATTTCATTTTGCCAGTGCCTAGTATGTCAATATTTATGTGTTCCATTTCTTCCTTAACAGTCTCCAGTTTTCCTACATTGTTGCTTCTCACGTTCCATGTTCTAATCATTAGGGTCTGTTTGCAAGTGTTCCTCCTCTTTTGTGATTCCCAATACAAAGGTTTAGCTTCTGGTGTCATATCTGTTAATCTAATCTTAATATGCACTGTGGTATATAGGGTTTTCAAAGGCCTGTTATTTTAGAAGTGCATGGCCAGTCCTTCTCCTTAATCTGTCTTAATTTGGGTGCTCAGCTTTAGAGCTTTTGGCAATATCATGATAGATGGTGAAGAGATTGAGCTTGCTGGTCTCCATAGTCAACACTCTTGGTACCAGTAGCCAGGAAATCAAAAGACAAATTGCATTGGGAAAATATGCTTTCTCCGCCACCCAAGCAGATATGTGCACACTCTGTTTATTGCGGCTTTGTTCACAATAGCAAAGAGTTGGAAACAACCCAAGTACCCATCAGAAAACGAACGTATAGAGAAGCTGTGGTACATTCACACAATGGAAGACTATGCTGCATTTAAAAACTAGAAACTCATGAAATATTATACAAAATGGGTGACTCTGGAGAACATTATGCTGAGTGAAATATCTCAGTCACAAAAGGACAAATACTACATAATGCCACTGTTGTAAAACAGGACTGACATCAGGTCTGGGGAAGGGGACGGAGAAAGATGGGATAAATTATGTATACTGCATTGAAACAAATGAGGAAGAGAACTGTTTTAAAAGGGTATTAGGTATTATTTTCATGACAGGAGTCCAGAACGAAGGCTGCATAGTGCAGTGGACTTGTGGGGAGGGATTATATAACAATGAATTTTTCTTTTACTTTTTGAAGAGAAGAGTAAACTGGTGGGGAGGAGTGGGCAGGGAGACAAGTGCAATCATGAATGAATGGAAATCCAAAGTTTCTGTAAACTTTCATGAAAATTAATAATAAGTAAATAAATTTTAAAAAAAAGAAAGAAAATCTGCTTTCAGGAACCTCTCCAGACTACTGAAGAGCAACAATGTCAGTATGGAGGTTAAGGTGTGCCTGATCCAGGCCATAGTCTTCCAGTTACTTGCTGTGCATCAGAGAGCTGGGTAGTGACTAAAGATGACAGAAGGAAAAAAAAAGATGACAGGAGAATTGATGCCTTTTGAGCTGCGATGCTGGAGAAGAGTGTTGAATATACCATGGACTTCTAGGAGAACAAACAGGTTTGTCCTAGAGAGAGTGAAACTAGACTGCTCCTTGGAGGCAAGGGTTCTGAAGCTTCATCAGACAGACATACTTTGGGCATGTTGCAAGGAGAAACCCATCTTTGGAGAACGACATCATACTTGGAAGGATAGAGGGCCAACGCAAGAGAGGAAGACCCTGGATGAGATGGATTGACTCAGTGACTGGGGTAATGAAGAGTAAGGTGTGTCAGAGACAATGAAGTTGGCTCAGGATAGGGCAGAGTTCAGAGCTGTTGTACATAGGGTCGCACTCAAAGACACATAGTAACATAAGGGGTAAATCATTCCAGGTAATGGTCTATTTGGGCTTATAAGGATAGTGGACATCAAGAATGGTGATCTAGAAAGGAACCTGAGTCAGAACTATATAAATGAGTATGGTTCCCTAATTAAGCTTCTTAATTTTTTTGCAGCTTCGCCGACACGAGGTGACTATTTGCAATTATGAGGCATCAGCCAACCCGGCAGACCACAAAATCCATCAGGTTACCCCACAGACACACTTCATTTCCTAAAGGCTGACCAAGGAAGGCTCCCACAGAGACTCTGTGTCAGTGAAGATATATAGCTGCCTATTATTGGGAAGAAAGACGTGAGGGACTCCCAAGAGAGTTGGCTGCCACAGCTTCTGCCAAAGCGTTGCCTTTGAGGCTTACTGTAGACAGAAACCTGACCGACAGAAGACACTGTGAGGGTTGTGTGCGTGCCAAAGGACAATCATGGTTTTCTCAGGCTCTGTGGAAATTGGGTCTTAGGCTGGTCCGGCATCTGGCAGTCTTGTATAACTTTGCCAGTCTGAATGTGTCATGGAATCCCAAGTGTCTGGTTGCTTTGTGGCAGGATTTGTGTCTGACCTGTTTTCATCAAATGGAAATAATTCCTGGTCTGCAGAAAACTTTCTGAAGCCTCTGGATTCTGTTAGTCCTCATGAAGGTCTCCAATTAGAAGTACTTGTCCCTGCTTGTTCTCTCTCCCTGTCATTGTTCAGCATTGTTGTCACATTGCCCAGCTTAGAGTTATCTGTCGCATATGACTGTCCCAGGGTGGTAACTCAAAAAAAGGTAGGAGTCTCCTGGTGATACTTAATAGCTTGGGTTTCTTTTTCCCTCTCCCTAGGCACGCAATCTGGGGGAGAAGATGGGACTTGTTCCTGGTGGGGTTAAGAGTGGAATTTTTATGGTAAGATTCTCTTTTGGAAGATCTTAATCTCTGTTAGCTCCTGACTATTCTGTTAAGCCCAGGGCCAGAATCTGGAGATTTCTTAGGTCTTCTGTTTATGTTACAAATAATTCACTGTGACTGAAAATCTTCCTAATAAAATCCTTGCCAGATTGTATTTTCTTTTGATTCCTTTGTAATACTGATGAAAAGTTTATCTGACTGGAAACTTTCATATTTTGGAAAAAATATTGTTGTGGACTAGGTAGATCATAAGAAATACTAGTGGAGAGTAGATGATTGGTTTGTCCAGGGAGAGTGAAGCATGATTTGCACAGTAGGCTACCACATTCTTTCCCTTAAGTTTCATAAAGAAGGAAATAGAATTAAAAGCCCATTTTCCATTTCTAAAGAGTGAATTCTTTGTAGAAAGGACAGTTTACAAACGAGAGTTGGTTCATTTGTCATCAGTAAAGCTTTGTCAAAAGAAATGAGAATGAGGAAAATTAAGTGAACATTACACATGTCTGAATGTTAATCAGAGACCTTAATCTTGAAAATAATTTTTATCAGTACAGCGATTGGAGAGAATTGAAGGATCTGAAAAGAGGATTTGAGCTGATCAGTCCTCCTAGGAAACAGTAAGGGTGTTTAACAGTGTTGAATCTGGATCCCATGAGAACCTTGAACTAATCTGCACTGTTAGGATTGGTTCAGCTTGCAACCACCAAGGCTTGTTGAATCTCAACATTTCTACAACACTTGAAAGCCAATAAAAATGCAAAAGCAATTCTTGATGGTTAACTAGCCTTCAACCTTGTTGTTGAAGTTGAATAATTTTGGAGATAAAATTCACATTTTAATTTGGAAAAAGGACTGAAGTTTAGAAATAGAACAGATTTTTAACTCATGGCTATTCCTTTAATTCCACTAATTAAGCACTAACCACTGGTGGGCTCAGTGTCTGGGCTCTTGAGTTTAAAGCTTCACTTTGAAGAGTGCTCAAAGGCTCAGTATCTCAGGTGGTTCACGGCTGTAGGGGGAACCAGTTGTTCATCCTTCCAGTCTGGAATCAGACAAGTACATTTTCCCCCCTTCCATTCTCACCTCTTTTTCCCTTTGACCCCCAGTTGTAGGTCCAAAGATTTCCTGCCCACATCCCTGTATTTCAGGTTCCATCTCTGACCTGTTGAGCAGTAAGACCAAACTCCCTCTTGGCCTGGGGAAAATGTTTTATGAGCCTTCATTCTGTTGAAAGCTGCAGAGGAATCAATGTGACTCATTTCCTGTTTTGCTGATGCCCACATGTCTGGGACATAGTCCTTCAACTCAATTTGCCACATATCCCAGCCGTTCAGCGAATCCCAAGCCTCATTTCCAGTTTATTGGTGCAGTTCAGAGCAAAGTGACTCAATGGTGACCAGATAGCACCTTTTCTTAACTGGGGGTAATGCACCATCTGTGTGGCCTTGCTTGTTGAGCTGAAAGCTGTCCAGCTGTCCTGGTGTAGCCAGTGTTACATTCCCAGGGTCCTTGTAGAGTCAGTGAGACCGCACACTGTGATTTTACACTCGACCTCATTTGAGTTCACAGCAAGGGTGTGAAGTAGGCAGGGTGGTTATTATACTCATTTTATAGCTCAGGAAACAGGTCCAAGAGGCAGTACTAGAGTAGAATATGGAGGTTGGGGTTGTTTACTTCCTTTCTGTGAGCTTTCATTATCTTTAAGCCTGGAGGACTAAATTGATCTCCAATGTCAACCCAAGAATGTATGAATCCATTCATGATCATGGGATTCTTCGGGGCAAAATAGCACGCAATGATACACTGCGCTTAACTGTCCCTATGAGACAAAAAAGGTAGTATACTTTGTGCTAAAAGCGTGAGGAATGGCTCTCTTTTTGGAGAACTCCAAAAGGCGTTTGATGGTGCTAGCAAGCGTGTCTCTAGTGAGTCTAGTCTCGGTGGGTGGTTCTGTCCTGCTGAGAACTCCCTGCCTTTCTGCCTTACTAGCAGGAAGTGGTCCTGCCGTATCCAACATGGCAGCTTCTATTTGGCGAAACCCAGCCCCACTTCCGGATTCCGTAACCGTGTCCGGGCTGCTTCCGGCAGCGCGATGGCCGGTTCCCGACACTCAAACGGAAGTTCCGGCGGGGGCGGCGGAGGGAAGAGTGTGTGTCTGTTCAGGAGAAAGAGGAGACTCGCCCGAGAGGTCTCGAGATCCACAGGGAGTGGAGGTACTCTGGTCCGACGGCAGCCTGCAGATAGAGGGGATGTGGGGACCCATGGGGCGACTAGGAGGGTCCTGGAGAGTGGGGAGGGGGAATTGCATCTGTGAAGATGGGGGTAGGGGGCGAGGGACGAAGAGGAGCTGTTCAGTCCAGGGGACTCCGTCTTGGGGACTTCTGTGGTGGAGAGAGGCTAGGGAAGAGGGTGCCTGAATATGATGAGAAGAGCTCTGGAGTCAGAAATGGAAGATCTCATTGTGGGGTGGCGGTTCCCCACGGCCAGAGGTAGACAGGTCCTTTGTGGACAGGGGCGGGCGCTGGGTCAGGGTTAAAAAATGTCACTGTAGGGTGGAGATGGCCCTTGCTTTGAAGAAAGTCCCATTATAGAGAGTAGGAGACATGGGTCAGGGTGGAAGTTTTCACTATGAGGAGGAAGACACCACCTTGGGGAGGCGGGAGAAAGCATCTCTCTGTAAAGGGGAACCCAGGAGTGAGAGATCATAGTTCCCACACTAGGAGGAAGGGAAGGAATCCCAAATTAGGGAGCAAGGTCCAGTCCCCTGTGGGGAGGACCAGAGGTGAACAATCCGGAGGTGGAAGGTGGACGCCAGTTAGGAGGGGCGTACTGCTGGAAAGGGTAGCACTTAAGGGCAAGTAGCGGAAGCTTCCGGGCGACTTTGGAGGATGCTGAGGACGGGGAGGAGCCTGCCAGCCTGACATTCTTTTGTGTGTTTGGGAATCCCAGAGCGTGGTCAAGCTGAGGAGCTCATTTGGAGTCAGTAGGCAACAGGAGCAGCAAGTAGTCCTGTTCAGGGAGGCCAGAGCACCAGTTGAGGAGTGGGTGGTGGTGAGACACCCTTAAGCCTAGGGGGTGGGGGTGGAATGGACAGGTATTCCCCTACCCGCCCCCCCCCCCCAGGGTTCTGAGAACAGCCAAGCCAGAAATTGTTGTGAAGGCTGGATTGGGGCGAGGTTTGAGAAGGAGGGTGTGTGTGTGTGTGTGTGTGTGTGTGTCTGTCTGTCTGTCTTTAAATGTTTGAAGGGTGGGATTCAGAGAGCATAGTCTGGAAGTGGATTTTTCTATCCTTCATTTCCCTAGAGGGATTGGTGGGGAACCCAGGGGTTCCGGAGAAGAACTGGGAAGGAGCAAAAATGAGGCAAAGTAGCTGGGGAAAAGGAGCAGCCTCCCCTCGGCCCGACCCCCCAGCCCCTGAGCCTTTCCTCTGCCCCACTCCATTAAGTTTAAGTACTGTGGTTGGGTTAGAACGAAGGACCAGCATTCTGGGCCAGTAGGGATGGAGGCAAACTTCCTGCTCTCTTTTTCCTGGGACTTACTGCTTGCCCTCCTCTTTGTGGCCAGAAGAACCCCTACCAGGGTGCTGGGGAGGGGTGTGTTGGATGGTTTGGGCAGGCCCTAGGTTTGAGGCTCTGCCTGTGATAGTGGTCCCAGCTGCCCAGCCTTGCTTGTGAACACCCCTCCGCCATTTTCACAGGCCCCCAGCCGTGGAGCCCTACTAGTGTATGTGTGGTAACACCATGTCTGTGCCCCTGCTCACCGATGCTGCCACTGTGTCTGGAGCTGAGCGGGAAACGGCTGCGGTAAGGGTCCTACTGCCCATGGGCATACATACCCAGACATATGGGTAGGGAGTTACCCATGCAGCCCCAGGAGGCTGGCTTGAGAGGTGTGGGAAAAATGGAGGTGGCACTGATGACAAGGGAGCAGCCTGAGCCCAGGAGGCTTAGGGTCAATAACCCGTTTGGCTGTTACCTCAGTTTCCCCCAAGTCCTGTGGGGTGGGGCAGGATAGCCTGATGTTGAAGGTTATAGATGGGAGAATGGCCTCTTCCCCAGCACCCCATTTCTCTTTTTCTAGGTTATTTTTTTACATGGACTTGGAGACACAGGGTGAGTGAGCTGAGAGGGGTTCTTTGGAGAGGTGGGGCCTGCCACCCTCCTTCTTCCCTCTATCGGCGCCTTCCCTTCCTTCCCTCCTACAGGCACAGCTGGGCTGACGCCCTCTCCACCATCCGGCTCCCTCACGTCAAGTACATCTGTCCCCATGCGTGAGTACCACCCCAGTGACGGCAGGCAGAGGAGGGTGACCAGCTATGTGGGGGTGGGGGGGTCCTGTGGTCTGGAGTCTCTTTCTTCCCATCAGCTGTATCCTGGGCCCTAGGCAATCAGAAGTGCCCTTCCCGCCTTAGTTCTTATGGGGCCCTGGGAGTGGATTCCAGCACCAAGCCCCCAGCCCTCGAGCTTCCTAGAACTGAGATCAGCTAGAACCAGGACTTCCTGTGCCCCCTTCCCCAAGTACTCACCATCTGTGCTGGACCCCGTCACACCCAGTGTTGGGCTTTACTTCTCCATCGCTACCACTGATGCCCAAACTGCAGCTTCCAGCCCCACGTGGCTGGTTGCCTGGCAACACCTCAAACACAGGTTCTGCATGCAGGGAGGGGCCCCCAGGGGCCGTTCTGTCCCTTCTAGTCTCTCTGTGTGGCCTCCCCGTCCCTTCTAAATATGGACTCATCTTCCTGTCTCTGCCCAGACCTCGGATCCCTGTGACCCTCAACATGAAGATGGTGATGCCGTCCTGGTAAGTGTGGGGTGGGAACATGAACTGAGGGTGGTATTCAGGGCTGGTTGTCCACCTCCAGTAGCTGCCAATGCCTGTGTGCCCCCAGGTTTGACCTAATGGGACTGAGTCCGGATGCCCCAGAGGACGAGGCTGGCATCAAGAAAGCAGCAGAGAACAGTAAGGCCCTCCCCTCTCATCAATATCTTCCTTGTGAAAGGGCTGGGCAGTATCTTTGGCCCTCCTTCCCGACATCCCTCAGCAGCTTCCCACCCACCCAGTCATGTTTCCTTCTGAACCCCTCCTCCCAGTCAAGGCCTTGATTGAGCATGAGATGAAGAATGGGATTCCTGCCAATCGTATTGTCCTGGGAGGCTTTTCACAGGTGAGAGGAGGGGTCACTGGTGGGTGGGCACCTGAGCTGTGCTCTAATAACCTCCTGTTCACTCATTCTTCCAGGGTGGGGCCCTGTCCCTCTACACCGCTCTCACCTGCCCCCACCCTCTGGCTGGCATCGTAGCGTTGAGCTGTTGGTTGCCTCTGCACCGGGCTTTCCCTCAGGTGAGCATCCCCAAATGCCCCCTCCTGTCCTGTGAGTCTCCTGTCTTGGAGACTGCCAGCCGACTAGCTCTGCCCTGAGTCCTGTCTGGCCCACAGGCAGCCAATGGCAGTGCCAAGGACCTGGCCATCCTGCAGTGCCATGGGGAGCTGGACCCTATGGTGCCTGTCCGGTTTGGGGCCCTAACAGCTGAAAAGCTCCGGTCTGTTGTCACACCCGCCAGGGTTCAATTTAAGACTTACCCAGGTGTCATGCACAGCTCCTGCCCTCAGGTCAGTGTGAAAGACTACTTCCTACTCCTGCTCTGTTCCTTCCTCCAGTCAGTGGCCTCTCACAGTCCCTTCTCCCTCTCAGGAGATGGCGGCTGTGAAGGAGTTTCTTGAGAAGCTGCTGCCTCCTGTCTAACCAGAGTTGCTGGTCTCCAGCACGGTCCCTTAGCTCATGCGGGGCCCGACACTCGCAGCACCATCTTGGATCTGAGCCGGCCGAGCCCCTGTCCCCACCGCCCTCCACCTGTCCTTTCCCACAGACCTTGGGGCAGACTGGTCACGGCCTGGCCCACCTGCTCTCCGCCATCTGACACTGTCCACAGCAGGCGGTGGGCTGCTTTCTTACCCCATTTCCCTGGAGGCGGGCCCCCCAGCAGCAGTATTGGAGGGGCCGTAGGCAGCGGGAAGAAGGGGCCCAGCTGCTGACCCACTCATTCAGGACCTCACCCACTAGCCCCGCTTTGGCCCCATTTCCTGTGACCTCAGGGTTTGGCCCTTGGGGCTCTCCCAGGCCCCACCTACTGACCCCCAGGGATTCTGCCCAGATAATCGTATCTCCTGCCTCCTCTCCAGCTGCTTCTCAATCATGAATGTGTCCATGGCCTACCCCCTTGCTGCTGTGGGCCACCTGCCTGTCGGCAGGAGTGTTGGTAAGGGGGTAGGGCCCGGGCCTTCCCTCAGCTGTTCCCTCCCCCTTGGGGGCCAGGCCCACCTCCTCTTTGCCCTTTTCTCCCGCAGGCCTGGAGCCTGCAGGGCTGGACTGAGGCTCATGGTCTCCCCACAGCTGTCCTACCCACACTTTGTCCCCACTCCTGGGCCAGGGAGGTGGTGGGGGAAGAGTTGTGTCTCGTCTTCTGTCTCCATGTGGTTTTGGGTGTTTTTCTTGTTGTGTCCTGGATTCCGATAAAATTAAAGAAATCGCTTCCTCAATTTGGGCCTGGCTGATTCTGTTCAAGGAGCAGCAAGTGATCATCTGATAGATCTTGCCCCAGTGTAAGAAAACTTGTTTTATTTGAAATCTTTTGGAAAGCTTTTCATAGCAGTATAAATTAGTGCCCAAGAGGGGGGATTGCGCGGGGGTCCTTGCTGCCCCCACTTGCCCTTGGTCCCTGTGGATTCTGGTCATTGTGGAAGGTAAGCTCATCCCTGCGGGTTCTGGTCACTGTGGAAGGTGAGCGTGGAGATGATAAGCTAGGAGGCAGTGTCTTCAGGGGTTCCTTCACGGCTGCCGTTTCCTGGTCAGTGGAGCCCTTGGCCTCAGGCCTGGTGGGCTAAGAGGCCGGCCAAACTGGGTGTTGAGGTAGGGGTAGCCTTGACTTTGCCCAGCATCTCAGAGACACCCGGGTTCCTGCCGGGAACCTGAGAGCAGGCAGTCCTTTCTTTTCCTCTTCTGGTCTATCTCAGGAGGGTCCTCAGGCCTGTGTGTCAAAGCCTGAAGGATTCTGCATCTGCCAGCGCCACAGATCCTCACCTGCCATGAGATGTGGGGGAGTCAGGGCCCACATTAGAGTGCAGGCTCCCCAAGCGGCCCACATGGCCTGCCTGGTCCCTGCTGAGCCAAGTCTCTCCCAGGGGTCAGGATCGAGACTTGGGCCTTACTCACACATCTTATCCAGCCCCAAGGCTGCTGTCCAGCCCAGCTCCTCTCGGGCCAGGCTAGGGTTGGCATAGCAGGTGGCCACATCACCTTCACGTCGAGCAACCACTTTGTATGGGATCTGCAAGGGGAAGTGCAGCTGAGTGGAACCAGCCCTGGGCCTCACCCACCCTACTGGTGAGGGATGCAGAGTAGCGTCTTTGAAGGGTCATGGCATAGCCAAACAGGACAGGGCTGGGAAAGCTGTGAAGCAGGCCTTTGGGGGACAGCCCAGCCGAGTGTTGAGATCTGGCAGTGGATGGGAGGTGTCCCCTCCTCAGCCCACCCTTATCTCTAGTGGTGCTGGCTGGGCTGAAGGGACCCACCTTCTTCCCAGAGGCCTTTTCCATGGCATGGACCATCTGCAGTACTGAGTAGCCTATGCCTGTGCCCAGATTGTAGATCTGCCCAGGAGAGAAGGCCAGGATTTGTGAAGGGTCCCCTTGGCCCAGGCCTCAGTTTCCCTCCCTCCCTGCTCTCTCCCTACCCTGCAGCCACATTGCTCCTTCAGCTTCCTCAAGGCTGCAATGTGGCCCTTGGCCCAGGCCTCAGTTTCCCTCCCTCCCTGCTCTCTCCCTACCCTGCAGCCACATTGCTCCTTCAGCTTCCTCAAGGCTGCAATGTGGCCCTTGGCCCAGGCCTCAGTTTCCCTCCCTCCCTGCTCTCTCCCTACCCTGCAGCCACATTGCTCCTTCAGCTTCCTCAAGGCTGCAGTGTGGCCCTTGGCCCAGGCCTCAGTTTCCCTCCCTCCCTGCTCTCTCCCTACCCTGCAGCCACATTGCTCCTTCAGCTTCCTCAAGGCTGCAATGTGGCCCTTGGCCAGATCCACAACGTGGATGTAGTCCCGGACGCCTGCAGAGAAGTAGTAGTGATTAGAAGGGTTCATTATGGCATCTGCCCCACCTGTTTCCTCCTCTCCCCAGCCCCGTCCTCTCCTCACCTGTACCATCCTCTGTGTCATAGTCATTGCCAAAGACATTCAGGGCCTCTCGTCGCCCGATCGCCACCTGGTGGTGGAGGTTAGGTCAGTTCCTCCAGGACTCCAGGCCATCCATACGCCAACCCCCCTCAGCCCTTATCCTTTTCCCTTACCTGGGAGACATAAGGCATGAGGTTATTTGGGATGCCCTGGGGATCCTCTCCGATACAGCCAGAGGCGTGGGCACCCGTGGGGTTGAAGTATCGTAGCAGCACCGCATTCCAGGTCTGTGGACACATAGATCAGGTGACGGGAGGTGCAAGCAGCTTTCCCTCGCCGAATCGAGCTCCCTCCACCTCAGGGCTCGGATCCTACCCCAAGGGCTTTGGAAATCGGCACTCCTTTCTGAATTTTCACTCTTATGTGGGCCTGACTGGCTGAGTCAAGGGGAGTCCTCACCTTGTCTGCCCGGCACAGGTCCTGGATCATCTCCTCGATAAAGAACTTGGACTTGCCGTAGGGGTTGGTGCAGCCACCTGTGGGGTGGGCCTCGTCTAGTGGCAGGTATTGGGGATTCCCGTACACGGTGGCGGAGCTGCTGAACACCAAGTTCTTCACACCATGGGTCTTCATGATCTGGCCATGGAGGGGAGGTGTCATCTGCCTCTGCCTCACATTATCCCTACCCTGTTCTCTCCAAGGGGCTCTAGTAGCCTAGTGGGTAAAGAGTTGTGCTGCCAACCCAAGGTAGATGGTTTGAATCCACCAACTAAGAAAGAGAGTCTGTATCTTCCCCTGAAAATGTCCAGGATGGGAAACCTAATGAGGTTACCCCAGGAGTCAAAATCAACACAGTGGGCTTGTTTTGGGCACTCGCTCCAGGAACCATGGTGGTGCAGTAGGTTAAGCACTTGGCTGTGAGCTGAAAGGTGGTTCTCATCCACCAATCATTCCATGGAAGAAAAATCTGTCAGTCTGCCTCCAAAAGATTGCTGTTGTTATGTACCATTGAGTCAGAACCAACCCACAGCTGACCTTCCAGCAGGTTTTCCAGAGGCAGTAAATGACATGGGAGGAGACTGCCCATCTTTCACCTGAGGTGCAGCTGGTGGATTCAGATTGCTACTTGCCTTTGTGTTGGCAGCCCAGTTCCTTACCATTAAGCCAGCAGAGCACTGCAAAGCTGACAGCCTTAGAAGCCCTCTGGGACAGTCTTCAAAGGGCTGTGATGAGTCAAGGTCACAGTGGGGACTAAATGGATTATTTCTTCCATAGGGTAAAGCTGAGCATATGGGTGTTCATGTTTCCAGAAGTGAAAAGGCTCTGAGCCTAAATAGATCTACTGGGATTAGAAATTGAGACTGTCCATGATGACTCTAGAATTAGGTCCTCATCCACTGTGCCTGTTAGAAAGGGGCCCGGAGATGCCCTGTCCACCTAGCTACGGGGCTGTGCAGTGTCTGCCTCTGCCATCAGACTCTCACCTCCAGGAGCTGGATGGTCCCTGTCAGATTGACCCGGTAATAATCCAGAGGTTTCTGTACGGACTCTCCCACAGCCTTGAGCCCTGCGAAGTGGATGACCGCCACAAAGCTGTGCTGCGGGGGCACAGGCAGGATCAGAGGGTGCTCAACAGGGGCCCAGGTAGCGTGCCCTGGCTGCCTGTTGACCAAGCCCCCACCTTCTTGAAGAGACGCTGTAAGGCTGCTTGGTCCAAGATGTCCATCTCCTCAAACTCCACAGAACGGCCCGTCAGCTCTTGCACCCGCCGAAGGCTCTCGGGCATGGAGCCCCCTCCTAGTTGAGCACATGAAGCCATAAGAATCAGAGGAGATGAGGCCCATGGTTGCTAAGGGCTTAGCCAGACACAAACATCCCCTTTCATAGTTCGCTAGAACCCTGGGCTTTCCTTCTACCATACTCTAGCAGCCCCAGCCCCCTGCTGCCCTGTACTCACCACGGATGGCATTGTGAAAGTTGTCGATGACCACAGGCGAGTAGCCCGCCTCTAGGAGTTCCAGCACCGTGTGGCTGCCAATGTAGCCTGCTCCTCCAGTTACCAGCACCTTTTCTGCCATGGCACCTGGTTAGAACAAAGTCTCAGTGGCTTTGGGCTGTCTCCTAGTTAAAAGAGTGGCTTAGGAGTTAGTCCTGGTGAAACTAGCTCTGGGTAAAGCCTTGGTACCATCATTTTCTGGCCTTAGGCCCAGGACTGAACTGACCACTTACCTTTTCCTGGCCTTAATTTTAATTATTTTTTTAAATAAGATGGAGCTAATAACTACAATTTCATGTGCTGGTGTGAGGATTAAATGAAGTAGTTTGAAAAGACCTGCCAAATGTTATAGGTAAGGAAACAGGTGCTGGCCTAAGATGGTTAGAACCTGAGGACATACCCAAGGTGCCTGGTGGCTGGAGAGGCCTGGACAGAGGAAAACATGGTAGCAGGACTTGGGGCTCTAGGTCTGTTGTTATGTACCACTGAATCAGAAAAGACACACAGCTGATCCTCCGGCAGATTTCAGAGGCAGTAAATGGTAAGTAATGGTAAGTTAATTTGCCCATTGAACCCCAAGCCTTCAGTCTGGTAGTGCTGCTCCTTACCACTGACCAACAGAGAACTTTGGTTCTAGGAGCCAAAGGGAAAGGCTGTGGTCTACTTAAAATTAGCCTGCCCAGTCCCTCTGCCATCACTCTGGGTAAACAGCCTCCTTGGATCAGTGACTAATACCTCACATGCCATGTAGCCCCTTGACTCCTTCTCCCTCAAAGGTCAGCAGGGAGGAAACAGGAAATACACAGATGGCCTCAAGGGTGGGTCCTCTGGCAAGCAGGCTCCTGAAACCAGCTCTGGTGCTGCAGACCTCACCCCCACTCTACCCTGGAGGCAGCCAGACTGGCTCTCTGTCCATGCCAGGGCTGAGCAGGGCTGGGCTCAGTGAATCCGGGCATGGAGCTAGGGATCCCATCCAACTGTAGGCTGAACTGGGCAGGGTGTATACGTGGCCTTGGCCCCGTCTCCACTACCAGGTGTGCATCTCCACCCTGAGCAAACTCTTCAGGGCAGAGAGAGGCGAAGTCCCAGACACTGAGCCCTTTCATTCCTTCCTCCACGCAGGCTGTCACCATCCTCGTCTCAGCTCATCCAGCTCCAACCCATTTGATTGAACGCCAAGCTTTGTACTAAGCACTTTTGCATTTATTTTCCTGAATTCTGCAATGTCCTGATGAGACAGATGTTTACCGAGAAAGCTATTCAGGGTCAGAGAGGTGACATTTGCCCGAAGCTAACCAGCTAGTTAAAGCCAGGTTGAAATCCAGAGCTTCAGGGCGGCAGTGAGCTTTCCCCTCCGAAGCCGTTCGCCCTCCCCTACCCCCTACTTCCGCAGGACACTGCTGCGGCCACCCCTACCCACGCCGTCGCGCACCACTGCTATTCTGAACCCTGGAAAGTGGTCAGAGGGGACTAGGGAGATAACAAGGCTGGCCTGAAATCGGTCTCGCCCCAAACCTGCTCCTGGGGTTTCCTTGGACAGCTGTCCTCCTCTCGGTTTTCCTAGTCTGTATAATGGAAAGGGGTTGAAGGCGGAGGGGCGAGAGCGCTCAGGGCCTGCTGAACCCCGGGCTGGGAATCGGGTCCCAGCGCGGAGGGGCCGAGCTAGGAGTGCTCAGATTGAGAATGAATGAACCCGGGTCATTTCATCCAAGCTCGCGGGAAACGGGAGAGCAGGGGGCGGGCCCATCCAGACCGAACTCTGCGCGTAACGCGGCCAGCGCCCCGCAGAAACACTTCCCGCGGGGCACCCCGCCCCTCTCCTAGACCACCTACCCCCTCAATCTGAGTCCCGAACCTGCGCCGGCTCTCACGTCCCGCGATGCCTTCAGCGCTACTGCCTCCAGCTCCCTGCGTGATGGTTCCTTTAAAAGTCCAGTCCACCCAGGTCCCGCCCCTTTCCACGCCCCCAAAGAAACGTGTCCGCTAGGATGCTGATACTACGGAGATACCGGCAGGACAAAATAGGTGTACAGCCATTGAAAATCATTTGGGGATGTGATTTGTGTGGAAGTTTATAAAGTAAATTTGTTTCCTGTTCAACAATGTACACACATTCTTCCCACATTCTTTCTGGTTCTCCATTCTTTCTTCTGGCCACTTTCTGGCTTTTGATTTTAGGCAAATAATCCTCACCACCCATATTTTCCTACTCAGTATGGATGGTGAAGAGTTTGAGATAGTTAACAGTTTTAGTTTACTTGGATCCACAGTAAACACTCTTGGTAACAGCAGCCAGGAGATCAAGAGTAGAATTGCATTGGGAAAGTCAGTTGTGAGGGACCTCTCAAGAGTACTGAAGAGCAATGACAGTAGGCTGGAGACTAAGGTGCGCCTGATCCAGGCTATAGTCTTCGCAATTACGTGCTATGCATCGGAGAGTTGGATAGTGAATAGGGATGATAGAAAGATAATTGATGCCTTTGAGTTGTGGTGCTGGAGTACCATGGACTGCTAGGAGAACAAACAGGTTTGTCCTGGAGAGGGTGAAGCTGGAATGCTCCTTGGAGTCAAGGATTCTGAAGCTTCGTCTAACATACTTTGGGCATGTTGCAAAGAGAGGCTTGGGAGGGTGGAGGGCCAGCACGGGAGAGGAAGACCCTCGATGAGATAGATCGATTCTGTGATTGGAATGGTGGGAATGAGTGTGTTTGAGACGGCGAGATTGGCACAGGATAGAACAGCGTTTAGGGCTCTTGTACATAGGGTCGCTATGAGTCGCAGGCGACTCGATGGCACATAACAACAAACACAACATCCCTTCTTCTCAATTTCCCACTTTTGCATTCCAGTTGCCAATTATCATTAACTCACCTTGATTGCATGTTCCGACAACTTCGGACTGCAGGACTTGGTAAAACTTCTCAACTTTCTCCTCTTTGTCTCCAGATGTAGGAGTGTATATTTGAATAATAGTAGTGTTCTTTGGAGGCTAGAATGATAAAGCTTTGCCTCCCATACTTTGGACATACTGCTAAGAGGAGCTATTCCTTGGAGAAGGACATGATTCTCAGAGGGTTGGTAAAGGAGAAGACCCTCAACCAGGTGGATTGATGTGGTGACTGTCATTATGGACTCTTCTGTGTCAGGAAGTATGAGGATGGCGCAGGATAGAACAGGGTTCAGATCTTCCCTCCCACACACATTTTTATTTATAGGATTACTATCTCAACCTCTTTGCCATCCATACTGATGCTGCCACTTGGCCCAGTGGTGAGAATCTTTGTTTTCTTGATGTTGAGCCTCAATCCATATTGAAGACTGCAGTCCTTGACCTTCTGCAGCAAGCACTTCAGGTCCTCCTCAATTTCAGCAAGCAAGGTTGTGTCATCTGCGTAACGTAGGTTGTTGATGATTCTTCCACCAATCCTGATGCCACATTCCTCCTCATACAGCCCAGCGTCTCGGATCTGTTCTGCATACAGATTGAAAAGGTATGGAGACAAAATACATCCCTGATGGAACCCTTTCTTGATTTTGAACCATCCAGTGTCTCCCTGCTCTGTCCTGACGAATGCCTCTTGGTCCAAGTATAGCACAATCAAATGTTCTGGATTCCCATTCTTCTCATAGTCAGCCATAGCTTGTTGTGATCCACACAGTCAAAAGCCTTTGCATAGTCTATGAAGCACAGATAGACATTCTTCTGGTATTCTCTGCTTTCTGCCAAGATCCATCTTACATTAGCTATAATATTCCTAGTACCATGACCTCTTCTAAATCCAGCCTGCACATCTGGCAGTTCTCTGCTGACATATTGTTCCAAATGTTTTTGGATAATTTTCAGCAGAAACTTGCTTGCATGTGCTATCAATAATATTGTTCGATAATTTCCACACTCTTTTTGTTGGGTCACCTTTCTTTGGAATGGGAACAAATACCTATCTCTTCCAGTCAGTTGGCCAGCTGGCTGTCTTCCAGATTTAGCACATCTAGGGCAGTGTCTGTTTGTTGAAATAAATAAATTGGTATGCCATCAACTCCTGAAGCCTTGTTTTGCCAATTCCTTCAGAGCAACTTGAACTTCCTCCTTCATCACTATAGGCTCTTGCTCATATGTTATTTCATGAAATTGCTCTGTGTCAGCCAATTCCTTCTGATACAGTGACTCTGTGTACTCCTTCCATCTTCTTTTGATACTTCTTGGATCATACTCTACTCAATGGCACCTAATAAAAACAAACAATGTTCATCATCGGCACTGGAACTCTGCTGGCCTAGAGGTAAAAAGTTGTACTGAAACCCTGAAGGGAAACCCAGCAGTAGCTGGTTCAAACCCAGTGGTAACTCTGTGGGAGTCTGGGCAATGTTCTCTGGTGAGATTACCTGCCTCTGAAAACCTGCTGGAGGGTCAGCTATGGGTCATTTCTAACTTGAAGGTATGCAAAAATCAGGCCAACAGGCAACATCATGATGGAGAAAAGATTGAAATTGTCACTGATTTCATCTTACTTGTATCCACAATCAACCACCTTGTTACCTGCATTCAGTTTAGCAGATATTGTATTGGCATAGTAAGCCATCAGGGACCTTTCCCATAGTGAAGAGCAAGGATGTCGCTTTGAAAACTAAGGTGCACCTGATTCAAGCCATGATCTTTTCAATTACTTGCTATGCCTCTGAGAGTTGGGCAGTGAATAAAGATGACAGAATGGATGCCTTTGAGTTGCAGTGCTAGAGAAGAGCCCTAAATACCACATAGACTGCCAAGAGCTAGCAAACAAGTATTTTTTTAAAACAATACAAATTTATTCTCTTACTATTCTAGAGGTCAGAAGTTGCTTTCCTAAAGACTCCATTGTATCAAAAGTTCCTCAGCCATTGTAGCTTGAAATAACACTTTAACCTTTAGAAAGTCCCATTCATCAGTTTTATTCTCTTCAGATTGTGTATTTCTGGCTATATTTAGCAGTCTCTTTATACATAAACCAGGCCATAGAAGCTTGATCCCAGTTTGTCTCTGATAAACTTTATGGTTTTAGATTTTTTTTTTAAAAAAAATCATTTTTGTCTGAAGAGTAGTTTGAACGTGTAGCAGTTAAGTGACTCACTTGAATACATGAAGGAAGAAGTTCAAGCTGCTTTGAAGGAAATAGCAAAAAATAAGGCCCCAGGAATAGATGGTATACCAATTGACATATTTCAACTAACAGATGCTGCCCTGGATGTGCTCACCAAGTTGTGCCAAGAAATCTGGAGAACAACCACTTGGCCAACTGACTGGAAGAGATCTATATTTGTTCCCCTTCCAAAGAAGGATGACCCAACAGAGAGTGGAAACTACAGAACAACATCATTGATTTCACATGCAAGCAAGATTCTACTGAAGATTGTCCAAAAACGACTGGAAAAAAAAAAGGAAAAAAAAAAAGAAAGGGAATAAAAAACCAAACGACTGGAACAGCACATCAGCAAAGAACTGCCAGAAGTCCAGGCTGGCTTTAGAAGGGGTCATGGTACTAGGGACATTGTAGCTAATGTTAGATGGATCTTGGCTGAAAGCAGATAATACCAGAAGAATGTCTATCTGTGTTTCATTGATTATGCAAAGGCGTTTGACGGTGTGGATCATAACAAACTGTGGCTGACTCTGAGAAGAATGGGAATCCCAGAACACCTGATCGTGCTAATGCAAAACCTATAGTTGGACCAAGAGGCAGTCATCAGGACAGAGCAGGGAGACCCTAGATGGTTCAAAATCAAGAAAGGGGTCCATCAGGGATGTATTTTGTCTCCATACTTTTTCAACCTGTATGTAGAACAGATCATCCGAGACGCTGGGCTATACAAGGAGGAATGTGGCATCAGGATTGGTGGAAGAACAGAGCAGGGAAACACTGCATGGTCCAAAATTGGGAAAGGTATACTCCAGGGATGTGTCCTGTCTCCATACCTTTTCAACCTGTATGCAGAACAGATTATCTGAGAGGCTGGGCTCTATGAGGAGGGGTGTGGCGTCAGGATTGGTGGAAGATCTCTTAACAATCTGCGTTATTCAGATGACACAACCCTGCTTGCTGAAACTGAGGAGGACCTGAGACACTTGCTGCAGAGGGTCTAGGACTGCAGCCTTCACTATAGATTAAGGCTGAATGTCAAGAAGACAAAGATTCTCACCACTGGACCAACTGGCAGCATCAGGATGGATGATGAAGAGATTTAGATTATTAACTTTAGTCTGCTTGGTTCCACGGTCAACACTCTTGGCACCAGTAGCCAGGAAATTAAGACGTATTGTGATGGGAAAATCTGCTGTTAGGGACCTCTTCAAAGTACTGAAGAGCAAAGGTGTCACTCTGGAGACTAAGGTGTGTCTGATACAGGCCATGGTCTTTGCAATCATTTGTTATGCATCAGAGAGTTGGACAATGACTAGGAAGGATAGAAGGAGAATTGATGTCTTTGAGCTGTGGTGCTGGGAAGAGTATTGAATGTACCATGGACTGTCAAGAAAACAGATTCATCCTGGAGAGGGTTAAACCAGGCTGCTCCTTGGAGGCAAGGATTCTGAGGCTTCATCTGACACTTTGGACATGTTGTAAGGAGGGACAGGTCCTTGGAGAGGGACATCATGCTTGGGAGGGTGGAGGGATGGCACAGGATTGATTCAGTGACTGGGGAAAGTGGGATGGGACAGTGTGATTGGCACAGGATAGAGCAGGGTTTAGGGCTGTTGTACATAGGGTCGCTATGAGTCACAAGGAACTCGACGGCACGTAACAGCAACACCATATCATTGTCCTATCTGAATTTATCTGTTGTATAGCTGAAGAGTTGCAGTGCTGGAGAAGAGTACTGCATATCCCATGGACTGCCAAGAGACCAAACAAATATGCTTTGGAGAGAGTGCAAGCAGGGTGCTCCTTAGAAGGACGGATGGTGAAGATTTGTCTCACACACTCTGGGCATGTGATAGATTTACTGAATGGCTCGCATTCACTATGAAGTCCAGAAGCAATGCTAAGTGAGTGCATAATAAATATGCTTTATTTAAAAAGAGCACTTGGTGTCAGCTCTAAACAAAGGAAAGAGGGGATTTATCTTTATTACATTGGCCAGTTGGTGGTAGTCACAGCGATTTGAAGGACCTGGTGCTAGCTTCCATTTTTTTCGGCACTGTTTTATCTCCCGGGTGGGCCATAAACCTAAGGATAAACTTTGATCACATATTTACTATTTTCTGAAACACAGAGATATATAGTACATCTCTCTGTATTTCAGAAAATAGTTACGTATCTGATTAAAGTGGTATACAGTACAGGGTCAGAAGGTCAGCAAAATGGAATTAGTGTGGTTTCAACCTTTTTTTTCAGTTAGAGAGGACTGTATACAGTTGAATCAGAACATAGCTGGCCCTCCAGTGGCAGTTAATCATATGGGAGGAGACTTCTCATCCTTGGACAAAGACATCATATGTGGAAAAGGAGAGGGTCATAGAAATAGAGGAAGGCTCTCAAAGAGGTGGACTGACACAGAGACAATAATGGGCATGAGCACTGTGGAGACTGAGACTGACTCAAATGGGACAAGGTTTCCTTCTGCTTGTCATAGTGCCAGTGTTAAGTCAGCGATGGCTGGACAGTCAAGCATTTGCTTGACTGAAAGGTGATCTCCAGGAGAGGTTCCATTCCAGGTTTGGAAGGTGTAGAAGGGACAGTCATCTATCAGACAGTAAGCCTGACCTTTTCCTCTCTGAACTTGTTCTGCATTTCTTCCCAATTTGTCCAGGCCTTTCTTTTCTGGTCCCTGTCAGTGTGGCTGGCAGTGGAGCGGGCACCATCTAGTTCTGGTCCCACCACAGTGGAGGCTGTGTGGCCCGTGTGATCCATTTGTCACTTTGGACTAACTGCTCGAGTGGTTTTCCCCCACTCTTCTTTCCTCTGGACAGGGAGGGCCTTAAAGTTTTAAAGGGGATTATGTAGTTGATCCCATGGATGGAGCAGGGTGGAGCAGACTATCATGCCCACAGCAGAGGGGAAGGGCCCCATGCATGAGTGCTAGTTTTGAGCCCTGGAAGCAGGTTGAGGGCAGGGAGAAGGAGAATTGGCCCTTAGGCATTTATAAGGATGTTTTATTCCTCTGCAGTCTCCCTGCCTCTTATATACACACTTCTGTACAAGAGAATGCCAACGGTTCTGTATCATTACATCTTTAATTACATAAGCTATTTTCAAAAATCACAGAGTGGAGAGTATTGTCCAAGAGAATTTCTAGTAGAGCTTGAAGTGGCAGTTGGTCATCCCTCTGCCAGTCTGGTTTCCCCATGTCCCTCTGCTCTAAGAAGTCAGAGGGCAATGACTCCAAAGGCACAGCAGAGTCAAGCTGCACAGAGGGCAGGTAGTAGCAGATTTTTACCCGGAGGGGAGTCAAGGGTCAGCCCTGCCCGGAACTGGGCTCACATGGGCCCTGAGTGGACAGGTTCAACTCCTGGGTCCGCAGTGAAGGTTGACATCCAGGCCCCATGGCTATGTAGTCAGGTCTGGCGGGGAGGGCTAAAGCCAAGGCGCTCCTTTTGCCCTGATCCTCCTTCTGTAAGGTTCTTGCTCCCTTCAATCTCATTGCCATTTCCATGATTCATCCATGCGTGCACTACACCTGTACAGTTCCCAGAACTTCACCTGGATGAGGAATTCAGAGTTTACAAGTGGCCTGAGCCACTTTGGAGCTCGTCCTTCTGTTCAGGGCCTGGCAGATAAAGGACCCGGCTTCAAGGAGCTTCTGGAGGTTCACGCCCTTTGAGAAACAAGTTAGAGAAGCAGTATGTCATGATATGTCTTCTGCACCCAGGGAAATGTCCGACAGGCAATTAGGATACTAGGAAAGAAAAGGGGAAGGTAAACAGGTTCCTGTTCTGCTCCTGTGACAGCAGGACAAGGGCCACCTGTGAGGCTGTGCTACCTTGGCACCTGGGGTTAGCCTCTGCCAGCCCACTGTAGAAGGCGCACCAATCTGTGCCACGGTTTGCAGTGGTGTCATGTGGGCAGGGAGAGCATCAGGCTTGAGCAGTGCTCCACCTCGGGGCGTGGCCCACAGTGGTCAAAACTGTGAACTGAGGCGAGAGGCAGGCCCAAGATACCAACCCAAGGCTCCAGCTCACATTCACCCACGCTCAGCTCGGGGCTGAGGGCAAGAAAGATGTTTTCTAACTTAATTGTCCTAATAGTTTTGAAGGACAGACACAATATTATTATTATTTCCATTTCTTAGGCTCTCAGAGGTGAAGTAATATGCCCAAGGTCACAGAGCCCGTGAGTGGCAGAGTGAGGTTTTAAACCCAGTTCTGTTGGATCCAAAGCACAGAAGCCACACTGTGTCCATCCCGTCACTGAAGGCACTTACTCAGAGTTCACTGCACTGTCCAGTTTTTCTGTCTTCATTTTACAGAGACAAAACCACAAGTGACTCACTTCAGGGTGTGAGTCTGACTCCTCTCTGGCTTTTCTCCTATACCCTGGGGGTCAGCTACACTGAGTTCCCAGTTTTCCTGTGCCCTACTACTAATGGCTTTGTTCAACCACATGCTGTTGCCTCAAAACAAAGCAGAGCAGTCCTGCTTCCCTGGGACCTTTCTCTTGAACCACAACCCCCCACAAAACCAAATCAAACCCCTCAGTTGCGGTCCCGCAGCTCTAGGCCTGGCTCTGGGCAGTTCAGGGCTGTCCCCAGCAGAGGGCAGGATGGCTTACCGTGTGAATGCCCAGGCCTGAGAGCATGTAGACGAGGTCCTCGGTGGCCAGGTTCCCAGATGCCCCCTGTGCGTAGGGACAGCCTCCAAGGCCTGCCACAGAAGAGTCCACGACACTCACACCCATCTGGAAACATGAATGGTAAAACATGGTTGTCACAACGGGGACCAGATTTTATGGGAAATCCTATAAATGTCTCAAAATAGCTGTACTTACGCTGAGTTTTGCTGGTTTCTCTCCAAAACGCAAGCCAACCCTTCCCCTTATTGCATTTAGCCAATGTTGCATAACTAGATGCACATCAAGCAAGTGATGGTTTTTCCTTAGACTAAGCACAGTGCACTGTTCACATCTTCTGTCAGCCTATACAATCTTTAACTCTGTACTGGGAGTTGTTCGTGAAGGGTATAGTTACTTTTCCTCATCCTCAGTGAAATCCTCTGCAGCTGCCAGATCCATGCAGTTTCATTTCCATACATTAGTAAGTTTCCTTTGTTAATAAACTGAAGCTTCAGTCTGTCTTGGGGTCAGTTTTCAAGTCTATCTACAAATAAGAATCTTCAGGGACTCTCCCTCTGGGAGCAAACCATGACATCCACAAACCACCCCACTGTCTGCTGCCTCAATTTATTTTTTTTTTTACATGAAGGCAATTTATTAACAGAAAATAATAATTTGATGAGTTATGGTCATAGACGGTGACCTCCTTCCTGCGGGTGCTCTCAGAAGGGATGGCGTGACATCCGTAATCCATCCAATCTTCTTTCCTGAATGGGTAAGGGCTCTGAGGGCAGACTGGGCCCCTGACCCAGGGGTCCTAGTTTGAGTTCCTCCTGTAGCGCGGAGTTTAAAGTAGTGGTGCCCAGCTCCTTGCACCTCTGTGCCACATCCTGGGCAGCCAGCATGGCAACGTATGGTGAGGATTCATCCGGGTCAGCTTTCACCTTCATACACCAGTTATGGGGCAGATGGCTTCCTTGCCAGAATGATCAGTGATGTGAATAAAAGTGTCATTGAAAGATGCAAAAATGTGCTGGACACCAAAGACTGACTCTCCTTCAGCCACCTGAGGTCCAAGGCTGTGTGTCGTCTCCAGACTCCAACTCCGGAAAGAACTACAGCCTGAAGTAAGAGTATAGTAAGAGTGGTCATTTCTTTGCCTTAAGAGTATGCTGAAGTGAAAATTCCAGTTGCTGAAGTCAAAGAGATTTATTTCCTTTTAGTTCTCAAAACAAGGAAGTCTGTTTTTGCAGCTTCTTGGGATGTCTTTTCTCCACTCCTTTCATAGCTGACTCCCTCTCACGTTTTAGGTCTCAGCCTAAGAGCCACCACCGCCTATGGAGGCCCTTCTTGACCACCTCGCTGACCACTGAGATTTCACACCCTTGCTGTTTGCTAGAGAGCAATTACCACAATCCTTCCCCTATCCCCAAGCTGCATTTCCTCCTCAGTCACTTGTCATTCTCTGAGATGCCTGGTTAACTTCTTCCTCTCCTTAAATCTCTCACGTCCTTCTCCCCATCTTCACTCAGCAGCTTCCATATTCAGGGAAAGCAGGCCCGTGATGTCTTCAGTGGCTCCCACCACCACATTCACCTTGCATGCATCTGGGCCCACGGCCTCCACCTCCCAAGCTTGGTCTCTGAGCTACTTCCAACCCCTCCGTTTCTGTACAAGCCCACCCCGCTCACCGCTCATGGACATGCTCCACTGGTCGCCTTTCTCTCCTGTAACAGGAAGGCTGCAGAACCTTTTTTGGATGGTTCTCACATTAGCAGAACGGGACACCTCCCATTTTCCACAAACTTTCCCCTATCCCCGCCGGCCTCCCATTTTTTGTTTCTAATCACAATAAAACTTCTCAAAGGACTTGTTCCTACTTCTTCCACTCTCACCTGAACTCACTCTGCACAAGTTTTTGCCTCTTAGAGCCTCCACTAAAACAGCTCTAGTCAAGGTCACCACTCATCTTCATCTAGCTAAAGCCAAAGGTACTCTCTGTACTTGACCTACCAACACCATTAAATGGAAAGGCTTCCAGGCTGTCTTTCCAAGCCTTGGCCTCTCACGAGGGCTCAGGCAATTACTTCCAAATCTTCATCACCATTGTGACCTTTAGGTCTGGTGCTCTTCCTGCTTGATCCTCAGACCACTTACATCTACACTCATTATTGTGCTAAAGATGCTAAAAATGCTTTTAGGCAGCCTACATTCTCCTGCAGTCTAGATTCTTACAGCCAATTCCTCCTCAGCTGGTTGCTTAACAGAAATCTCACACCTCATATGTCACTTAAACAAACTTTGTATCATGCCCCATACCTGCTCCTTTCACAGGATTCCCTACCACCATCTTTTTACCCATATTTATTATCTTTTAAAGGTGCTTCAGAGTTGCACTGCAAACCCAAAGGCAGGCAGTTCAAATCCACCAGCTGCTCTGTAGGAGGAAGATGAGAAGTCTCCTCTCACTGGAGGGTTTGTTCTTAGTCAGGTCTGACTTGATGGTGCAGAGGAGAGGAGGAGAGATAAAGAGAGGAGAGGGGAGAGGGAGAAGGAGAGAGGGTGAAAGAGAACAGAGAGAGGAGTGAGAGAACCTGCTTCAATCCCTGTCTTCCCTTCATAAAGAGGGATCTTTAAGAGAGAAAAAAAAAATCAGGTCCTAGCCCTCCTCTAAGGAGCTTTGCTGGCCTAGTGGTAAATAGCTGTGCTGCCAACTTGAAGGCACATGGTTCAAACTCACCAGCTGCTCCATGGGAGAAAGATGGGCAATCTCTTCCTGTACCATTTATCCCCCTCTGGTCAAACCTGTTAGCTCCCAGCTCAGAGGAAGCACCAAGTCCCGCAGGGTCCTCCTGTTCTAGCCTACCACCCACCCTGCTCCGCTGGGCCTGTTTATTTCTGCCTGCTGTCCTTTGAACACAGTAAGCAAACCTTACAGGGAATTCTCTAAACTTACGGTTCCTGTGCCTGGAATCTGGCCCTGCTCCTGGCCTGCTTACTCCCTTGCTTCCCTCAGCTCACCAAATACCATCAGTGAAGCATTTCTGTGTAGAGCAGCGACCTCACCTTAGTCTTATCAACACGGCTCTGCTTGGCCACCCTTCCGCTTCGCTTTTCTAACTACTTCACTTCTTTGCATCCTGCAAGCAAGCCTGGCTCAGGTCTCCCCTCTCCTGGAAGATTCTCCGTGAGCTCCACAGCTGAAAGGGGGCTTCCCTCCAGGAATCCTCAGTCCTGACTCTCACTTCCTGGTATTTCTCGTGATGCACAAAGATCAGCACATAATTCTTTAACAGAGAGATGTGGGTACTCTAAGCGTAGGTCCTAAGCCTGTGTCCACCACATCCAGCCCAGAGCCTGGGCAAGCTTCAGTCAATGTTTGTGGAAAAGAAGAAATGTAACCAGCCTGTCCTGCCCCCATGCCCTCTGGGAGAGCAGTCACATGCCTTTCTCTCAGGGTACACCCTGATTACCTGCAAGGCCATCAAGGTGTTGGCCAGGGCCTGCCCATAGGTATCGTGGCAGTGGACAGCCAGGGCAGCTGGAGGCACCTCATGCATGACAGCAGACAGCATGTCCTTCATCACCCCTGGGGTGCCCACACCGATGGTGTCCCCCAGGGAGATCTCATAGCAGCCCATGGAGTACATCTTCTTGGTGACCTGAGGGAGTAAGCAGGCTGGTGTTCAAAAGCTCAGAGGTAGGGCCCTCAACCTGGGCAGATTATTTCATTAGGAAAGTGGAGACGGCACAGGATAGGGCAAGGTTCTGATCTGGTACTCACAGAGTCGCTGTGAGCTGTGGTTCACTCAAAGGCACCTAACAATGATCTCTGTTTTACTGAGAACCATAGCAGGAGACCGAGCCTTAAGTAGCACAGCCAGGCCTGGTGCTGGGCCTGCACTCCAACCCCTGTGGTTTCTCACCACTCCTCTTTCACACCTTAGTCCTTTACTCTCCACTTAAACACTGTTCTTATTACTCTCTAGAATAGCTTCAGCCTAAGCAATGAAAATACAACCCAACCCATTGCTGTAGACTCTGACTCGCGACAACCCTGCATGTAACAGACTTTCTTGGCTGTTAATCTTTACAGATTGCCAGGACTTTCTTCTGCAGCACTGCAGGGTGAGACTACACCATCAGTCTTCAAGTTGGTAGCTGTGTCATCCAGAGGCCTAAACCCTCTGTGATAAGACCCATGAAATCATGAATCTGAGGGACAAGTTATATCTTTTTAACAGAGGTACAAAACCATTTCAATTTTAAAAATCAGTCTGAACAATTTTAGAGATTTAGTCAGTCCCTAAAAATCACTGCAAGACTAGTGTGGTATCTGCCCTAATTGAATAAACAGTGCCTCACATCATGCTGCTGGATAAGGCAAAGGAAGAACGTGCAAGGCCAGGCACACAGAGGATACTTGGCAATGACCTTCCAGATCAGGGGAGTCTGGCTCCTCCACCACTACCCACAGAGGCAGCGTAAGGAACAGCCAGGCTGCAGAGGCCACAGGCAGAGGGGAAGCAGAGGTTTCTGGAGTCGCATGGTACCAGAGTCAAATCCTTGTTTCACTGTGCACAGCTGTGTGGCCCCGGGCAGGAGGCTGAACCTTTCTGAGCTTCCATTTCTGCTTCAGAAAAATAGTGACCACCCTTCACAGGACTACAGTGAAGACTGGGCCACGTTAGTACTGTTGTTACCACTGCCTGTATATGGATGCTATATGGAGTTGTGGAGGGCAGAACTATGCCTCACACACTCTGGTTGTGTTATCAGGAGGGACTAGTCCTGGAAAAAGATAACATGTCTGGTAAAGCAGGAGGTCAGTGAAAAAAAGGAAAACCCTTGGTGAGATGGATTGACACTGTGGCTGTGACAGCAAGAGTGGGTTCCGATATAGCACCGACTGAGAGAAGGCGTGGCGAGGACCAGGCAGTGTGTAGTTCAGCTGCGCCAAGGGTCACTATGAGTCAGAACTGACTCGATGGCACCAAACGACAAATGGTGCTGTGGGAGGATAAGTGGACTGTGGGATGGAGTCCTGGTTTCACCTTTTACAACCTGTGTGGTAAATGATTTCAAGTTCCACAGAATGGAATAACAATAGCAATTTTCAGGATGGCTTTGAGAACTAACCAGTTCTTGGGTCTCTCAAAATCCACTCCCACGCTGTGGTCTCCTCAGTGTTGAGCTGGTTCCTGTTCTAAGCACATCAAGGCTGTGGCCTCTCCACCAGTAGAAATCCCTCCTCAGAGGGATTTCACGTACTTCATGGTCACCTGCTGCTCAACTACAAGGGGCAAGAGGAACCAGAGGCTTTCCTTCTGGTATAGTGGACGCGGCTCAAAGACTACATGCCCGGTAGGGAGGTCGCTTCCAGGGAGCAAGTTCAGAGCTGTGGACACAGGAGACTCATAAGGAGCTAAGGGAATGAATGATACCAGTGAACCCCAGGGAAGGGCGGGAAGAGGAAGCCTCTCCACTGAGGGGCAGGCAAGTCAGCCAAAATCCGACAGACACACACCTCAGCTACTTTAGCCGGGGAGATCTTCCCTTCATAGGGGCATCCAAGCACGCAGGAGACGTACCTGTGGGAAGACAGGGGAGGAATGAAGTCAGTGACCTGCTCTCCTGTCAGCAAGGACATGGCAAGGTGGCTGTCCGCCACCCATCTGTGTTCACCTGCAATCACAAAACCTGCAGCTATGAGAGGGCAGAAAACTTAAAAAAACTCACTCCATCAAGTCAGAATCCTAGCTGACCCTCCAGCATGTTTTTGGAGGTCTGTAAACAATACGAAAGGAGTTTGTCCTACTTTCTCTTAAGAAGCTGCTGGTTCATTCCAGCCTCCACCTTTGGACTAGGAAAGGAACTTCCTACCCAGTAGGCTACCAGAGCTCCCCCTGGGAGGCGGTGTGGGTCTGAAAAGGTAATTAGTAATTAGAGGTGAGGCCAGAATGCAGGTAGTGCTGCTTAATGCTAGGGCAGTGGAGTGTCATGGCAGAGAGGGAGGAGGACTAACAGCTATTCCTTTTGGACGGACTGGCAGGCAGGCAGCCAGGTGTTCATGAGTCAAAACCCTTCTGAGGAGGCGAAACCAGACAGGGCAATATGAGCAGGCACCTGAGCTGCGCACAGCCAGGGTAGAGCAGAGCCGGATACTAATGCAGCTGGGCCAGCACTCCCAGGAGGACAGCCAGGCCTGGGCGCAACGGAGGAACAAGAGCTGGGTGGGGCACGAGTCACTGGCAGACGGGAACGGCCTGAAGCTAAGACAGTGACCTGGCTGCGTCAGTTGAGTTGTCAGAAGATTCTTTCATTCATTCATTTACTCATTCATCTAATTTGTATTTATTGAGTTGCCTACTATGTGCCAGGCGTTGGGTGCTTTTACCCTCTTGGTTTCCAGATAGGTAGAAAACCAACAGAAAGAGAGATAATCTCTGAAAGTGATCCGCTACAAATTAAAGAAAAGGGCCATGTGATAGAATCAACTATTGTTAGGTGCCCATGAGCTGGCTCTAACGTGCAGCCCCCGCACGCACGGTGGAGTGAAACACCGCCTGGCCCTGGCCCACTTCACCACCACTGACAGCCATCTTTAAGTCTACTGTGGAAGTCACCATGTCAGTCCTCCCCACTGACCTCTCCCTCTCGTTACAGCATGACGTCCAACTCCAGTGACCAATCCCTCTCGATGCCATGCCCCAAATTAACTGAGACAAAGCTTCGTCATCATCATGTCTTTTTTTCCCCCTTCCCCCTTCTTTCACCATCGTCACTTCTAATGCACTCTGACTATATTTCTTGCCAGAGATTCATTTGTTCTGGCAGTCTGTGGAGGTATATCCAATATTCTTCACCAACACCACAATTCAAATGCATTAATTCTATATGGATCTCCAGTTTTTAGATACATGTGAGGTTACTGGAAATAGGTTTACCTAAGTCAGCAAAGTTCATTAACACTTTAAAGAGGTCCTTTGCACCAGCCTTGTCCAGTCTAATCCGTTATTCGATTTCTTGATTATTGAGTCTACTGACAATGACTATCGATACAAGAATAAAAAAATCATGACAACGGCACTATTTTCCTCCATTTGTCACGTTTGCTGGTAATTTTCTTTATGTTCATGAGTAATCCATATTAAAGTCTGTGATCCTCTTTGCTTTCAACAAGCAAAGTTGTTTCGTCTGTATATCTCAAGTTGTTAATGAATCTTCCTCCACCCTGATACTGTGTTGTGTTCAGCTTCTCAGATGATGTGCTGAGCATACAGACGGATTAGGCAAGGGGCAAGAGCATAGGCCTGCCACACATCTCTTCACCTTTTAAACCAGGCAGCATCACATCTGTTCTGTTCAACCAACTGCCTCTTCATCCATCATTAAGTTCTGCACTTGACATGCTCCTTCCCATGTCATCCATTTGTTATGATCCACAGAGTCGAATGCCTTTGTATAGTCAATAACCACAAGTAAACATCTTTTCTGTATTTTCCTGCTATTTAGTCAAGATCCATCTGATATCAACAAAACCACCTCCAGTTCTAAGCCCTCTTCAGAATCCAGTTTGAACTTCTGGAAGTTCTCTTTTGATGAATGCTTACAGCTGGTTTTGAGTGATCTGTAGCAACATTTGGCCAGCATGCTTTTGTCCAATAGTTCTGTATTCTCTTTGATCACCTTTCTTTGAGATGTGCATGAAGATGGATCTTCTCTGCTGGCTGACCGGGCAGTTATCTACCAGATATTCTGTCACAGATGAGTGAGTGCTTCTAGAGCTGCACCTGTTCACAGAAGCATCTCAACCGGTATTCCGTCAATTCTTGGAGCCTTGCTTTTCCCCAATGCCTTCAGCTACTAGAAGCGATCAGAAGAAGCCAACAGTGGCCAGGAGGGCCAGGACATGATGTCAGAGCTGACAGAAGGGAGATGATTTGCAGGAAAGCGTTCCAGGTTGAGAGAGAAGTGAAAATTGAGGAGCGTTACGTGTGTTCCAGACACAGAACAAAGGTTAGAAGAGCTGAGGCTCTGACAGCAAGGGGAAGAGAAACACAGGAGAGTCTGGAAAGGTGGACAGGGGCCTGATCATGGCGTCCTGGAGGCTATATTAATGAGGTGAGATGTAGGCAGCTTCTTCTATCCACTCATTCCATTGGAGCTAAGGCATCCTTAAAACTCCTTAGAAGCTAACAAAGTGATCTCAGATTCAGATAACAATACACTTTATCATTTTCATTCTCTCACTTATCCTGCAAATATTATTGAGGAAGATACAAGATAATGAGAACCAGCCCAGACTTGGGAGCCAGGTCTGCCTCTCAAAAGTAGGTAATCTTTTTTGTTTTTACAGCAAATTCTTCCCATTTAATTTTTTCCCCCCATTCATTCATTGCACATTTTCCTCCCTGCCCACCCCTCCCCCAGTTCATTTTTCTCTTTGAAAAGGAAAACATAAAGTTCTTTCATTGTATACAACCCCCCCCTCCCCAAAGGTAGGTAATCATAGTCTCCCTGGACTGATTTGCAGAGGAGCACACCAGAGACCGTGAGAGATGGAGGCTCTGCCCTCACGGGAAGAAGGGACAATTTAATAAGCAGCTAAAAGCTATGGTGGAGGATGTTCATGGGAATATGGGATCCCAGAAGAGGGGCACTGACTCCAACCAACGGACAGAGGAAGCTGCTTGGAGGAACTGGCATCCACAGGGGACCTGAAGAGTGAACAGGAAGAAGACTGTAGTTTGTGGAAAACCCATGCCAGTGCCTGGCATCAAGAGAGGCAGAGGAAGCAAGGGCCAGCAGGGTGCAGTGAACGCGTCTGTAGAGTAGCCAGGCCTGAATACTGCAGGGCATGTAAACCATGTGGGGAACGTGTGAACTTGCCAGAGTCACTGAAAAGTTTTAAGCTGAGAGAAGTGATTAGATGTATACTTTTTTTATGTTTTTTTTTTTATTTAGGTTGTTTATTTTTCATTTCAATGAACATCTACAGAGATTTTGGGATTCCATTTATTCATTTTTGCACCCTTCTCCCCGCACAACCCCCCCCCCCCCACCGTTTGCTCCTCTCCTTGAAAAGCAAAAGAAAAACTCCCTCATTGGTACACAATCCACCCCCACCCCCGCACCTCCCCAAAAGAGGTGGCTTGCAGACTGGTCAGTTACGTGACTCTAAAGTAGGTTATTCATCCCCTCTGAGCCTTAGTTTTGTCATCTGTGAAGTAGGGATAGTCCCTTCCTTGTTGGGCTGCTGTGCAATTTAAATAAGGTAAAGGCAGGTACAGTGCCTGGCGCTGTCGCTATTACTGATGAGACCATGGAGACTTAAGGATGTCTGAGGAGCTGGAGGTAAAAACCATGTCCACAATGACCCCCGGCCCCATTCACTGTTCTTGCTATATTTCTTTTCATACTTTCTCCCGAACCCCCATCAATCCATTGCATAAACTCAAAACTCAGGCTTGGGAGAAAATATCTTTTTTTTTTTTTCTGCCCACACTGACTTGGAAAACAAGACACCTGAGTATGAAGTTTGGGCTGTCTGCATGCAAGATAAGGAGCCTGTGTGTGGCAAGGTCATGTAAATGAGAACTTCCCCGATTCCAGAAGAGCTTTGAGGAGAAGATATGGAACATCAAAGTCCTGACTCACCCGCGCACAGAAATGTTGTTTGCTCGAGCGGCCTTTATGATTCCGTCAAAGCGCTGCAAACTCTCTTCGATGGAGCAGTTGATGTTCTTCTTAGTGAAGAGTTCTGAGGCAGCTCCAAAGATTGATACTTCCTTGGCTCCAGCTGCAACCTGCCAACAACCAAGGAAGTCCCATACAGCATTTTCTCATCAAAGAAAATGATGCAAAGATTAAAAAAAAATAGGGTGCTGTGGTGAATTTCAGGACATGTGAGTTATACTTCAGAGAAAAGAAAAAAACACAACAAACCCCTTTGTCTCTCCCCTAAGGAAGCCGCCACCAGCCTGGAATATACTCCTAAAAGAAGTCTTTGGCCTGAATGCAGATCCAGTAGCCCTAATGATGTTCTCGTTTCACGTCGTAAGAAAGTGGGCAGATACCAGCAACTATTGGTGAAATTATTTGAGACCTTGGTTATTGTTTTGTTAAGTGCCAGGGTCATGTCTGAACCCTGTCCTATCTTGTGCCACCCTCATAACCTTCGACAAATTTGTGCCCACTGCTGCAGCTACTGTGCCAATTTATCTTGCTGAGGGTCTTCCTCTCGTTCATTGACCACCTTTCTAAGCATGATGTCCTTTCTCTAAACAGAAAGTGGGCAACAAAAATCAGAGGTAATATTTATTAAGCACTGACCTTCTACCCTACTCTTGCTAAGTAGATTATAAGCATTCTATCTTCTGGAAACCTCACAACCTCGTTGTTATCAGGTGATGTTGAGCTGGTTTCAACTCATATGGCCTTATGTACAACAGACTGAAGCACTATTACCATTGCTGCTGATGTTACATGCTGTGAAGTCGGAACCAACTCACAGCTGACCCTTAAGGGGTTTTCAGAGGCAGTAAACTGCACAGGAGGAGATCACTCATTTCTCTCTCGCAGAGCTGCTGGAAGATTTCAAACTACATACCTTCAGGTTGGCAGCATAACTTCTTACCACTAGAATGCCAGCACTCCCGGTACTATCATTAGTCCTACTGTCACTACTCTACTAACAGATAGCCTAAAAAAGCAAAAGCAGAAGGCTCAGAAAAGTTAAGCAATAGTAAGTCACAGAGCTGGAAGCAACAGAGCCAGGGCTGCCCTTGGTCCATCTGATGGTGTTCACCATCATCATTAGAGACAGCCTTTCAGACATCCCAGGACAGGGGACAGGGGTTCAGAGACAAGGCAATCAACCTCATCTCAGCTGTCCTCACCAAGCAGTTCACTTACCGCTGCCTCAAAGCCTTTGAGATTTGGGGTCAGAACTGGGTAGTTGATACCAGGAAACTTCTGAATTCCCTTCAAGACTTCAGTGTGGTCAGCCATCTGGGTGCCTATCGAGATTTTGCCCAGTCATCACCAAAGGCCATCGCAGCTTGGTTAGAGAAAAAGTATCTGTTTTACAGAAGCTGTGAAGACTAAGTCCTTGTGCAGAGCTGACTTTCCTTGGGGCTTGCACTGAATGTGGGATAGCCAATGGGCCAGAAGGCTCCTCAGCGGGAATGATGCCTTTCAGTGACATCATTAGCCATTTACTGTTTTCTGAGACAGGAATTGGGTTCAACCCACATTGTGTTAGCTAACATTCTTTATTTTTTACCAGGGCCTTTCCCCCCCTGCTAATCACTTCTGTGAAGTAGGACTCACCAGTCTTCTCCTGTAGCAAGTGTAGAAGTAGACATATACATTCTAGACTTTCAGAGCCAGAAGGGATCTCAAAGGTTACTTCCAGCACAGGGAGAGGACAGACCTCTTCCAAAATGACCAAGCAGGTCAGAGGCAGAGGCAAGATTGAAAGCAGGCCTCTGACACCAAGTCATCTCCTATGAGCTGTGCCATACTGTTATGAATGGTTTGAGACCTCTCCAAGCCAGAGATCCAGAAACTGAGATTCTTAACTTCTAATATTTTTAAGGCAAACATAAAACATTCCTCTCTTTCATCTGAAAATTGCCCCTCACTGAGGGCTGGGGCTCACCTGAGGAACCCACTTGGGAGACACAAAGCTGGTAGCTTCTATAACAGGGAGTCCTGCTTCAGAAAGCATATCTATCAGCTTGATTTTTACTGGAGTAGGGACAATATTCTGTAACAGAGAAAATAAATATCAGAAGGAAAAAAAAAACAGGTTAGCCAAGCTGGAAAGAAATGACTCAGAAATGCAGTGTCCAGTTCAAAGCTGTAAGTCATGTGATTGCGATTATCTCAGAGTAAGCACCTCACTATCTTAACCTGTGTAACACAGAGTCACATGTATTTCCTGATAACAGTATGGCGCTTGTCTTCAAGTTCCACAGATAGCATTCTGCCGCACAGGCAGTTTCTCATCTAAAAGGGAGTTAACTATTTATACAGAAACGATCTTTTTCTGCTATATCCACTTTCCTTAACTCTATGTTAACGTGGGGCCCCATCATAAAGAAATTGGGCCCCATGTCCTGTGGACTCAGAGGACACAGGTCTAACAAACCTTCTGGGCTTACTGGGATCGCGCTGCCAAATACCTCCCCTTCCTCTTTCCCATCTCCCAACCTAGCTGGAACATCACGTTCACACATTCAGCCTATGGATTCTCCCCTGATTTCAATGGACAGCCACCTGTGCCCAGTGACTGCCATCTGGACAGCGCTGGTTTAGACCAGTTATCACTGCAGCAAGCAGGCAGCACTGGCCCAGATCCTCCTCTAGGTAGATAGTCTCACATAAAATTTTTTGGTTCTGTACAAAACCAAAAGTTGAAAGTACATGCCTTTTAACCTGCCTGAATCATTTATGATACAACTTCACAATACATTTTATAAAAAGTTCATGATGCATTTGATTATAGCTCTCCCCACACTAAGCATTTACACCACGCCTACCCGTTCAGTTATTTACCAGCAGGGTGCAGAACACCCCTACGATTAAATCTTTGCAAGTGGCCATCAGGACTTTCTCTGGATAAATCCTCCACACAACTGCTAGATTACAAGTCTCTGCAGCTGTGCCCATTTCCCCCTTCTTCCTGACAGACTCTGCCGGCGGCCTACATCTGAAGTGCCTTTTCCATACTCTGCCAATTCAAATCCTCTCCTCCTTCACCTACACTTTGTAGTCCTGCAGCCCTCACCCTCCTCTGTGCTGCCCTGGCCCTTGCTCCACGGTATCTTAGATCATCCGTCTTGGTTGCCTGCCCTGCCTCCCCAGCTCTGCCCTAAACTCCTCCAAAGCAGTGCTCAAAGGCTGCACAGCTGTCCGTCCCTGTGCACCTACTACATGACTTATCCAAAGCAGATGCACAAAAACGATCTTGTGTGTGTGTGTGTGTGTTTGTGTGTGGTTAGCAGTACAATACACTACGGACGATGACACTGGAACTCCCAAACTCTACTTTTTAGTTTTCTTCCATCTTTACCTTTTCATTCTGTAGTCCATCTCGGGGACCAACTTCCACAATTTTCACCTGCTTCGGAAGGGTGCCCACGGTGGAGGTGCTGACCTTCAGTTTAAAAGGGGGGGGAAGGAACAGGAAAAGATTGTCTGACTTCTTCAGAGTACTAATTGGAAAAGACCGGGCCTATTTTCACTAATACTGTAACAAGAAATAGTATTTCTCTCCTGTTTAATTCACATTTGGTCTGTTTGAGAATTAAGAATAAAAATAATTATTTCACTCTAGAAAAAACAATGATCAAGAGATTCACGCTCCGAGTACAGACTGCCCAAGATTTTATTTCTAACTGCTGGTAGGGAGCTCTAAAACATCTCTTGTAAACATTCAGAATAAGCCCAAGTCTCTGTCTTTAATTTATCCTAATTCCATTCTTTCTATTCATAAAGGGGAGCACCTTGTACCTCACTGCACACCCCCGAATCTCCCCTCCCTCAATTCACCACACCTGTAAGGCTGTGCATGATTTGACTTCTGCCAGTCCCAGTGACCGCATAATTTGTCCCTACTGCCCATCCCGTCCTCCCATGGGTCCACTCTGCCTGAGTCCATTTAGCCTCTTTCTCCTCTAACAATACCTTTGTGTTTACTATTCCTACTGCCTGGCATGGTCTTCACCTGGCTCCTTCCTCGCTTTCGGTCTAAGCGGCCTCCTCTGATCACCTCTGTGAAACAGCTCTTCCCCAGTGACTCTTTATTTCAGGATTACAACTATACCCTTCAGAGCACTAAGAATAATGCCCACTCAGTTATCTCCAGAAGAATGTAAGCTCTCTGGGGGCCTTTATCTGTCTTGATTTCCACGTTATCCTTCATGTTTGGTCCTGAGTCTGGTACTAAGTAGGTATTCATTTAAAAATTACTGAAACCACCACCACACACATGAAGGGCACAGCTGTGTCAGAGGAAGGAAATTACTGAGTGTGAGGAGATGCAATTCTGATCTTTCTGTGTTCAGAAAGACAACTGTTATAATCACTGGCTGGATAGTAACAGGGCAATGGGTCTGAAGGGAGAGGAAACCTCTACCAGTTGAAGACATTAAAAGCAGAACAGAACAAAAGGCCTTGGGGAATAAAAAAAGACCTTGAGATGCTGCTGCTTAATAAAGTCTGCCCTAGATCTTCCTCCCCAAATAACACAAGGCTTCTTTTCAACCTCTTTGTGTGCTGCCCTTTTACATATAATTCTTCAAATTAATTTTATCAGACTGAATTAGGATAAACACTGCAATGGGGCAAAGGCATAAGTGCATTGTGCAATCTGCTAGGGATCCCAAATCTTAAAGTTGAAGGAAGGAACTAAGTCCTGACTATGGCTCAGTCTCTCAAGTGGTTAATGACCTTGGCTGCTAACAGAGAGGTTAGAGCTTCTGATGCATCCAGAGGCATTTTTTTTGAGATTTTTTTTATTATTAATTTTTATAGACATTTACAGAGGTTTTGGATTTCCATTCATTCATTGTCGCACTTTTCTCCCTGCCCACCCCTCCCCACCAGCTTGCTCCCCCCTCTGAAGAGAAAAAGAAAAAAAAAATTCCTTCATTAGTATACAATTCCCCCATCCCTTCCCCCCACCCCCCACCCCGAGTACACTTCTCTATGCAACCTTAATTCTGGATTCCTGGGCTAACCATAATACTCAATCATTTTGAAAGAAGGCCTAGTGATTTATACTAGAAACAGCAGCACCACACCACACCATCTTCACAATGACTATTCTTTTAATAATCTGACAACTGTAACGAAAAGGTAAAACCTGCTTCAAGTGCCCTTTACTACATCAGAATGGACTTGTTGCTTCCACATAATGGCCCCATATAATAATGACAGACAACTCACATATATCAGGCATTTAATATTTGTCAGGTACTTGTCATCCATTCAACAATATCATTAGATACAAACTACTGTAGTTCTCAGTTCTCTGTGTCTGATATTTGAAACCTCAAGAGGTTCAGTTAACTATGCTGATTTGATCTATACAGCACTGCGCTGCTAACCCAAAGGTGGTGGTGCTTCTCCGGAGGTTCAAATCCACCAGCTGCTCCATAGAAGAGAGATTGGTGATCTGTTCTAGTGCATTATACAGTTTCTAAAAACCTGCTGGACAGTCAGTTATGAGTCAGTTCTGACTCAACTACAATGAGTTGAACTAAAGAGGTTAAATAATTTTCCCAAGTCACAGAGCCAAAGTCTAAACTTGCCCAGCAACAATAGCCAAGTTCAACAGGGCAGCAAACAACAAATGCTGGTGAGGTTGTGGAGAGACTGGAATTCTTATTCACTGCTAGTGGGGATATTAAAAAACTACAGGGGGAGAACAAAACTATGGAAGGCAGTTTGGGGCTTAAAAAGTTGGAAACAGAAATACCATTTGACCCAGCAATTCTACCACTGGAAATATACCTTAAAGAAACTAGAGCTACGACTGAAACAGATGTATGAACACCCATGTTTATTGCTGCTGCATTATTCACAATAGAAAAGAGATGGAAGTAACTCAAGTGCCTATCAACGAATGAACAGAAAAACTATGACACATTCACACAATAGAATATTATGCAGCACTGAAAAACAGTGAACTCATAGAACATTACAAAACATGAGGAAGCTGGAGGACATTATGCTGAGTGAAATATCTTAGTCACGAAAGGACCAATACTGCATAACACAGCTGTTATAAAATAGGGCAGATGGGGTGGTTGGGGAAAAGTGTGGCTTTATAATGAACGCTGCATTAGAACAGATGAGGGGAAGAACTGTCTAAAAGGAATATACGATTAGGCATTACAGGTATGGCAACAATCTGGAACAAAGGGTGCATTGTTGAGTGGGCTGGGGAAAGGGGAGTCGAGAAGAAAATATGAACAATGAAAAAAAAAACCACACCAAAGCCAAAAAACAAACCCCAACAAAAAACTAAGCCTGGCAGTGTGGCTATGGATACTCCTACACCATGCTGCCTCTTTGCTACCCTAAGTCTTGTACTATAAACCACCTCTGTTCCTATCTGCCATGAATTCTGCTCAGACATGATTGATCCCTTCTAACCACACACTAAGGGGCCCCTCTACTGGTGTAGTGTTATGTGTTGCATTTACTGGAAGGTGAGCAGTTTGAAATCACCAGTTGTTACATTTGAGAAGAATGGACAGTTTCCTCTCATAAAGATAAGGCTCCAAAATCCCATGAATGGCCTCTCAAGCTGGGCAATCTCAATGTTTTACCTACACATCATTTAATCTACAAAACAAACCCGAGATTAGTTATTTCCAATTCTAAAACTCGAGGTTTAGAGAGAGGGTAAATTATAACACCACCTAGAAAGTGGCAGAAGCACAGGCCACAGCAGCTTAAATTTTAACCAACACAATTTACTCAACCCTTGACATAAACTAGGGAACTCTGTGGCCTAGAGGCTAAGGGGCAGCGCTGCCAACTCGAATCTACCAGCAGCTCTGAGGGAGAAAACGTCCTCCCAGTGCGATGCCCAGCCTCGGAAAACCCTCTGCAGGGTCAGCTACGGGTCGGCTCCGACTCTCTGGCAATGACTTCACACAACTAGGTCTCCTGCACATATTCGCTGAGCCTGGGAGGGAAGAACACCCGATCAAACAGAACTAGAGAGCAATTTCAAGGGAATCACAGCTAAGCCCCGGTTGCTCAACCGCCCTGCGGTACCTGGGGATGCGCCCCAAGTTCCCACAAACTACAAGAACCAGGAACCGACCCCCTCCCCATGGAAGGACTGCGCTGATGGTGTCTAATGAGGTTAGAGACGCCCAGACTCATTCAGAGAAGCCAGAGTTCGTCTGGGAACAGGACGTCTGGGAAAGTGTCCTGGTCTCCATGGGCCACTTAAGTCGCTCCCCGTCTAGCCATCAGTTTTCCTAGATCCCACGAGAGATTTGATAGTGGGGTGTGGGGTGGGGGAAAGCAAGACTTGAAGGCTCTCGCGAGAGGACCGGTAGCCTATCGTTTCTAGGAAAACAGCTGCCAAAGTCCAAACCTGGCACCCCGACTGTCACGGGGCTTGCAGGTGGCTTCCTCAGCGGGTGAGGCACTTACAGCCCGGAGGGACGCCAAGCCCACCATTCGCATCGGAACGGTCCTCTTCACGGCCGCCATCTTTGTCCCGCCGCTCCCCCGCGGCAGGTCTCAGTCCCACGTGACCGGGAGGGCGGGGCCTCCGGGACAACTGGCTCCGCCTCGGACTCTCAACTTCCTTATGAGATTCCAATTCTCCATCCTTTGTTCATTATTTATCCATCGCCGGGTGTTAGGAGTGAAATATAAAGTTGATCAAGTACTAACCAAAGTCTCTGGCTTCAACAATCATAATCGTACAAATAGTTACTATAATTACTATTTTGGCAATAATAAGCAACACTACTTGTTGGTGCTGGAGAAGAGTATTGAGAGTACCATAGACTGCTAGGAAAACAAACAGATTCATCCTGGAACGGGTTAATCCGGGGGCTCCTTGGAGGCAAGGATTCTGAGGCTCCGTCTAACATACTTTGGACATGTTTGAGGAGAGACCGGTCCTTGGAGAGGGACATCATGCTTGGGAGGGTGGAGGGACAGTGCAGGAGAGGAAGGCCCTCTATGAGGTGGATTGATTCAGTGACTGGGATAATCAGGATGAGAGTGTTAGAGACAGTGCGATTGGCACAGGACAGAGCAGAGTTTAGGGCTGATGTACGGCACATAACAACAACAACAACAACAACAACTTGTTAAGCTTCTCTGTTGACTTAGTGGTAAGAAGTTGTACTGCCAATCCAAACGCACGAAGTTTGAATCCGTCTGCTGCTCTTGGAAGAAAATTAGGCAATTTCCTTCCATGCAATTTACTGCCTCTGAAAACGTGCTGGAAGGTCGGATGTGAATCTGTTCTGACTCCATGGTACACAAGATTTTGTAGGCAATTTTGAGAGGGTTTTTGCACGTATTGACCAACTAATCATGATCTCCAGAATTCAAATCCAGGCAACTGATGCCAAAGAAAAAGAGTATCCTTTCATTTCATGATTTGAAGGACGAATAAGGGCTTATCTAGATGGAAAGGAAGCAAGAAAGGCTTTATCTGCAAAGATTCTGAGTAAAATTGAATATTTTGAGCAGCCTTAAAAAATGTGTATTGTGACCTTAGAACTGGTATAACTGGTTGTAAATTCAATGCAGTGGATGTACAGCCAGAGTAGAGTGTGCCTTAGAAATAAGGATGACAATACTTTGTTTCATGTAGTTAGGGACTTTATGCATGTTATCAAGAGAGTCCAGTTACTGGAGAAGGACATCATGTTCGGAAAAATAGAGAGTCTGAAAGAAAAAGGAAGATTTTCTGTAAGTTGGAGTGACACAGTGTAGCAGAAACTGTGAGAGTGGCAGAAGACTGGGCAGGGCTTTGTTGTACATCAGAGATCGCTATGTTGTTGTTATGTGTCATTGAGTCATCTGTGACCCATAGTGACCCTATGTACAGCTGCTCTGAAGCTTGCCCTGTCCTGAGCCAGTCTCACTGATTCTGACACATCTATACCCATTTCCCTAGTTACTGGTATATCACTCCATCTCATTTGGGGTCATCTTCTCCTGCGTCTGTCCTTCCACCATTCCCAGTATAATGTCCTTCTCCAAGGACCAGTCCCTCCTGGCCACATGTCCAAAGTGTGTGATACAGAGCTTCAAAATCCTGGCCTCCAAGGAGAAACTTGGTTTTACCCCAAGATCGACCTATTTGTTTTCTTGGTGGTTCGCGGTATGATCAAGATTCTTCTCCTGCACCACAACTCAAAGTCATCGATTCTTCTTCTGTCATCCTTAGTCATTGTCCAGCTCTCTGATGCATAGCAAGTAACAGTGAAGAACATGGCGTGGACTAGGTGCACCTTAGTCTCTAGATTGACATCATTGCTTTTCAGTACTCTGGAGAGATCCCTGACAGCAAATTTTCCCAATGCAATTCATCTTTTGATTTCCTGACTGTTGGTGTTAGGAGTGTTGATTGTGAAGCCAAGCAAGCTGTAATTGTTAACAATCTCAATCTCTTCACTGTCTATCATAGTGCTGCAAATTGGTCCAGTGATGAGAATCATTGTTTTCTTGATGTTGAACTTCAATCCATATTGAAGACTACAGTTCTTGACCTTCTTCAGCAAGTGCTTCAGGTCCTCCTCAGTTCCAGCAATCAAGATTGCATCATCTGCATAATGTAGGTTGTTGATGAGTCTTCCTCCAATCCAGATGCCACATTCCTCCTCATAGAGCCAAACCTTGTTATTTCTTAAGCTAAAGGAACTAAAGAACAGTTTCAAGCTGAGAGTTGCAATGCTTAAGGATACTATGGGCAGAATATGAACTGACTCAGGAAGCATTTAAAAAAATGAAAGGAGTATACATAGTCACTGTACCAAAAAAGAATTAGCTAACACATATGATCAAGAGGCAATGGTGATGAAGGAGGAAGTTCAGGCTGCTCTGAAGGACTTGGCAAAAAGTAAAGCCCTAGTAATTGATGAAATTAACGTATTTCAACAAACAAGTTACTCTCCTGCACGTGCTGACCAGGTTGTGCAAAGAAATCTGGAGGACAACTACCTGGTTAACTAACTAGAAGAGATCCATATTTATTCCCATTCCAAAAAAAAGGGTGACCTGACAAAATGTGGAAATTATTGAATAATATCACACGGTAGGAAAATCCTGCTGAATATTATCCAGAAATGAATGGAATCGTACGTTGACAGAGAACTATCAGAAATACAAGTTGGGCTTAGAAGAGGTCATGGCACTAGAGACATTATCGCCAATGTCTGATGGATCTCTGCAGAAAGCAAAAGCACCAGAGGGATGTCTATCTGAGTTTCATTGACTATGCAAAGGCATTTGATTGTGGATTACAACAAATTATGGCTAACCTTGAGGAAAATGGGAATCCCAGAACACTTGTGTTTATGCAAAACCTATACTTGGACCAGGAAGCAGTCATCTGAAGAGAGCAAGGAAACACTGCATGGTTCAAAATCAGAAAAGGAGTGTGTCAGGGATACATCCTGTCTCCATATCTTTTCAATCTATATGCAGAACAGATCATTCGGGAAGCTGGGCTTTATGAGGAGGTCACTATGAGTTGTAATAAATTCAACAGCACCTAACAATGATGGTGCTTTTTTTTCCCCTTTAAAGAAAAGAAATAGAATAGAAAACCATGAGAGTTTATTGTGAGTTGTAAAACTAAGGACTGTAGTTGCAAAACTCCTGCTATATGTCAACCAGGTTACAATATAATTGGTTTTTTTTTTTTTTACTGTGGGTTGCAGTCAGAGTGCTTGAAAAAACTTTTTTTTTCTTTTTTTATAGAAAGAAAGGAGTCCAGAACGATTTGGAGAACAAGAAAGGAATAAGAGGCTATAAAAGAAGATTGGTGAGGTGGATGTTGGCAAAGTCCATACCACAGGGCTTTGGAGAACACATCAATAAACATTTCTCCTAAGAGAGTGCTTCTGAAGGGTTTTAAGCAGAGCTTTATTCTCTTGAGTGAGTGTGAGGTCTTGTATAAGGTTGTGAGTAGCTGACTCAACGGCACCTAAGAGCAAACAGGGAGATGTTATTAGATTTGCATTTTATAAGTAGTTATTGTGGCTAAGAACTGGTGAGTGCACAGGCTTTGACATCCTCGGGGAGAAAGAGACATTGAGGGCACTGTGAAATAGAGAAGAACTCCTCCTTCGGAGACTCCCAGTTTAACTGAGCAGAGAACAAGATATTTTATAAGCAATATTTAGGCTTCTATGGAACTATACATTTCCTTCTGTTGTAACACTTCCAGAATCCTAAACCAGCAGCTAGAGGGTTGAACTTAGCTTAGTGTTTTGTTGCTTTAAGAATATGACTTCCCCCCCGCCCTTTAGAACATAATCTTTAATGCATCCTTCTTACCATTTTCTCTTAGATTATAAATAGCTGAATAAAAAAAAGTTAAAATATTTAATCCTTGCTTCTACTCAGCTGGCTCCTAGTAACAGGAAACCGACCATGGGCTTTTTCCGATTACATTCCCACTGTCTCCGCAGAATTTACATGCTCATCTTCATTCTCAACTGATTGCTTTGCCTCATAAAAAAAAATTTAAAAATATGAGTTTCTTTAGCCAAAGCATTTTCCTGTCATCTCACCAGTTCATACCACTCCCACTTTTTTCCACAGATAACTTCTCAGTGAGTTCCCTGTCTGCCCCTTAGTAGGTTGCACGTGTAAATTAATAACAAATCCAACTCAGAGATAAGTGTCTACAGCTCAAAGTTATTGTTTGGCTGTGCTGTCCTCATTACTAAATTGTTGTTGCTATTGTTTTTAGGTGCCACTGAGTTGAGTATGACTCATAGCAACACTATGAACAAAAGATTTAAACTTTGTTCTATCCTGTGCCATCCTCACACTTCCTGACACACAAGAGCCCACTGCAGCAGGGACCATGTCAGTCTACCTGGTTGAGGGTCATCTTCTCCTTTGCTGATCCTCCATTCTTTCCAGCATCATGTCCTTCTCCAAGGAATATCCCTTTCTAGCAACATGACCAAAGTATGTGAGGCAAAGACTCATCATTCTTGCCTTCAAATAGCACTTCAGCTGCACCTTTTTCAAGACATATCTGTTATTGTTATTGTCAAGTGTCATCAAGTAAAAAATGACCCATCGCGACCCTATAAACAGCAGCTCTGTACCCTGCCCTGGACCATGTAATCCTTATTGCCTGTATATTCTTCATACTAAGTCTCTGATTTGCATTCTTCTCCAGAAATCCCTTCATCCTCCACCTCCACAACTTCTCTTTATAGTGTCTGTCCTGTGCTCACTGATGCTTCATCTCATAGACCATTCTATTTCCTTAACATCTCCTCTCCTTTATTGTTATTTCGTTTCACACACCAAGCAACTTCTACATCTGAGTCACATTTTCATTCCACTTCAGATTCTGCGGGTTTCTTCAATGCAGAGTCAATCTCTTTACCACATCTTCACTAATAGAGTTCTACAAAGACTTCTCACTGAAGCTTATTGAATGGATCTTCCTTTTGGTCCTTGGGCTCTACCTCTTGTTCTTTTGTAGGCTTCTCATCTGAGG